ACTATTACTTTAATAAATGTTCAAAATCATAAAATAAATGTACAAACACAGTATCTAATAGAGTTTTATTTTAATTAACAGAAAATTACTTTTATGGGGGTCGATGGAGATTTCGAAAAATTATGTAGGGGTCGATGATCAAAAAAGTTTGGCAACCCCTGATCTAGAGGCTGTTTTGAGTGTCAATAATAAAGACTGGTTTATATTTCCTTATTTGGTACATTATTAAAAATTTTAGTTTCATTATACACTTTAAAAACATAACTGTACATTATAAATAATAGTTTATTTTTGATTTAAATTAATGATTTTCTTTGAAAAAAATCATAGTTATTTAAATTAGAATAGATTTAATATTTGTTTTATTAAATGAAAATGTTATGTAAAATAGTTAGAAGCAGGAAGGATAAACTTAAGATTTATAATAATCAACTGAGATCCCAAAAAACTTAAATATTAGGTTTAATATTAACTTTATTAAACAAAATATAAAGCTGTGATTAATATAGAATATAAATGACATTGTTTGATTTGGAATAATTTTAATATTTTTTTTATAAAATGAAAATTTTATGCAAAATAATTTTTAATTAGTAAGAAGGATTAACTTCAGATTTATAAAGGTAAACCTAGAGCAAAAATAAATACAGAAAATGAAATGATAAAAAAAAAACTAAAATTTTGGGTTAAATAAGCTTTATTAAACAAAATATAAAGTAGTGATTTATATACAACATAAATGCATAGCTGCCAACCTTAGAAATCAAAAATTAGGGACACTATATGCGACAAAACTATACACACCAATTACGAGAGTAAGACAAAAATTTAACTATAAAATAATAACATTAATAGACATATATTTAAATACCTTATGTAAATTTGTAAAAAAAAATTATAAACACTATCTTTAGTTGGAAATTTATAATATAAATATTTTATAATTAGGAATACCAGTAAAATAGTTTAAAAAAAAGAAAAACAACCATTACCAATTAATATATAATTATTATTCTCCAAATAATAAAACACAGGTAAATATTAAACTACATCATAAACAAATATTTCTGATGCAAGTGTTTAAATACTACAATACATTTTTTAAAAAATAATAATAGTTGTTTAAGCAATTTAGTGAAATATCAGCAACAGCTATTGGAATAGTATTTTTAAATAAAAAGCTACTAAAAATTACTTCAGCACAATAATCGCAGGAAGCGCGACTGCGGCGATCAGAACAAGAGATTGGTTTAAAAGCAAAAATACTGCAATTTTACGAAAATTCGGATTTTTTTATAAAAATATCTGATTTTCAGATTTGATTTAAAAATTAGGGACAGTTGGCAGCTATGTAAATGACATTGTTTGATTTGGAATAATTGTAATATTTGTTTTATAAAATTAAAATTTTATGTAAAATAATTTTTAAGTAGTAGGAAGGATTAACTTCAGATTTATAAAGGTAAACCGAGAGCAAAAATAAATACAAAAAATGAAATGATAAAAAAAACTTAAATTTCATAAGCTTTATTTAACAAAATATAAAGCTGTGATTAATATACAATACAACTGATATTTACAATGGACTTATTTAATTTTTGTACTTCTTACGACATGGGCTGAGATTCCAGTTGGTTCCCCTGCATAGCGTTTCATTTCTTTAACAACACCACGTACCTAAAATGAAATAATGGTATAAAAAGAAAATAAAGGTATGTAATTATTTTAAGAGTTCTTACCATTAATCAATTTCAGCAAAAGTTAAAGCAATTATATATTCAATTACGAATAGTAGCAAGTATCTATCACAGATTCTAGATGAAAGTGACAGATGCAAGTGTCTACCACTAATAGATAAATTACAGCAAAATTAAATTATTCAAATGAGCTGTTCGTACTTTATGATAACATATATAAAATAAAGGGATTTCAAAAACTGTGAAGCAATCTGTTGTAATAATTCTCGAAAGAGTGATTTACAAGGTTATTGAAATTTATGAAGGGATAGGCATGAAATTACAAGCTGTAATAAAAATGAATTATAAAATAGGCAAATTTTAAAAATCGCAAAATTATCAATATATATACACCCTTTACAGGGCCGGATTAACCTATAGGCACGTGCCTAGGGCCTACGAAATTCAGGGGTCTACGAAAATCTTGGGAGAAAAAAATTTGTTGACAAAAATAATTTAGCTTTAAAAACAACAAGTGTATTTTGCACAAAATTATGAAGATACAAATAAAAATATAATATTTTTCGGTAATAAATTATTTTGCAGAATCTTATGATCTAATATATTACTTTTTTGCGATTTTTGGATTCAACGAAATCTTGTATTATGCTGTCGAATTCCAAACTACGCAAAATGTCGTATTCAATAGACATAAGTGCGAGCAATGCCAAACGATCTTGATTCATTGTTGAACGCAAATAATTTTTTAGCATATATTTTGAAAAGAGGGGAGGAGTGGGGGAAGGAGGGGAGGGCCCAAAAACGGCTATGCTTAGGGCCTACGAAAGGTATAATCTGGCTCTGTGCCTAGGGCCTACGAAAGGGGCTCTGTGCCTAGGGCTCTGATTCTTCAAGATACTTGTACTTTCCCATTATCCCACTGGCACATCAGGAAGACTGAAATCTTTACAGGGTGCGTAGCCAGATTTTTTAACAAAAAAATACATCTTTTGTAATTTAGAAAGACAATCGACACAGCAAAGACAAAAACTATCTTTTCTATCTAAAAGATAAAAAATTAAGAAACTTTTAACAAACCCTGAATAAAAAACCCTTTAAGGGTTTTTAAAAACGTAAATAAAAAATAAGCACTTTTTAAAAACGCTAAGCAGCATAAAACTTTTTTAAGGGGCGAATAAATTGACCAGTCAAACATCATTAAAATATTTTATTAGAAAATAAGTCAAAATTTTAAGTTACACTTAAAGCCAAATCCTACCAACATAAATAAATTTTTGTGTTCCCTGCCTTGCAATCGTCTATCATGAAATATAAATTGACTATTAGTTACTAAAATTTTCTGATAAAAGTCACCAACTGTTTAAATATTTGGCTAATAAAAAAATTGAATGTGATCTAATATTGTATATAATTTAGAAAATTATTTATCATTGACAGAATGAAATTGTTAAAAACTTCTGCTTTAATTTGATTTCATCATTAAAAATATTTTTGAGAACTACACAGAGATATTTTTTGAAACATACTGCTTTTTTATTTTACTAGGCATTCTAATAATTTAGTAATTTAGCAAAATTTCTTAAAAATTAACGATCTGTGTATAAGAAAAAGATTAACAAGCTTGTTAAGATCTAGCAACCTGAATTTACAATATAAGTATTTGAGATTATAATAATTTTTCAAATTGATTCAATTGAAAATATATGTAACAAAAAATGAAATTGGTATAATACAATTAAATCCTTTTTTAAATTTATTAATAAAAAATTATAAAAAAATAATAAAAATCACCTGTCCCTTCCTCCTTATCTTGGCTTTACGATACTTCATTCGATTGTGAACTCTAGGATTTCTCTGCTCTTTTTTCCTTTTAGCAATTAAACCTTTGTTTTTAGCAATCTAGAAAAGTTTTTAATAATTTAAACAATGTATGCATAATAGGATAATTTATTTAAAAATAACAAATGAGATGTAAGCAATAATGGACTCAAAAGACAAATGATTCTAAATTCCTAATTCTGCACTTAAAAAACAGTGTAAACAATTGCTTAGATATTGTGGTATAAAGAGAATAATTACACATTAAATTGTAAGAATTTTGTTATGCCTATCATCATTTTTTTTTTAAAAAATAAATAAATAAAAATTTTTGTTGTTTTTTTTATAAATTAGGCAAGAAGAAAAATTTTAATGGATATTTTTTTAACATAACAAGCAGCTACTAAGAATTAGAAAATTATGAAAATTATAATAATTAAATTATATTAAATCACTTCAATTTAATAATAATAAACTATGTTTAGAAGTCCATTGTCAAATAGTTGCTAGTCATATTTACAAATACAAATTAATGAGAGGGGAAGAGATCTCTTTCCCTCTCATTATTTCATTTATTTCTAATTATTTACAGTAACATATTTTAGTTTTTTTCTTGTATGTGCTAAGATGTTAAAATAAATATTTCTATTAAATACTTAAATGATATGTTGGCATACTATGTTAATATAAGATTGCGTATGTAAATAATTATTTTTGGTGGACTTGATATATTTTTTAATTACATGTGCAGTTAATTTATTGTCATCATTGCAATATTAATAATCACAAATCTAGCATTACTTACTGACATAAAATTGTGAATTCCTCATTTTATCAGATCTTAAACAGATTTAATTTATTTTAAGACAGCAAACTTTATAATACAAATATTGTTTGATCAATATTTTTGCTTTAGAAATATTCTGCTTCCTTACATGATATTTTTTCAAACAGTACATAAAAATACACAATTCAAATTCTTCAATGATATGATTATGATTTTCTTTAAAAAAGGTTAATAATTATAATCACTTTATAATAAATTATTATGATTTTCTTTAAAAAAGGTTAATGATTTAGAAATATTATAATAGTTATTTTAACAGTAATTAGTTACAATTTTGGCAGTAATTTTTCATATTGAATTATGTTAGCTTTATGATACTAATTCTAAAGTAGCAATATTAATTTTTCAAAAGTCACAACACATTTTATTCATCAGAATATACCTGATATGTAATCATTCTTTTCTCGTCGCCTGTTTCTTTTGTAGGATTCTCTGCATCAAAATCTCCTTCCCTGTCAAATATTTATTTTCCAATTAAAACAAAATAGACAAACAAAGTAAATACTAACGAAAATTTCAAAACTTTTTATTTAAAAACAAAGCTAGTCATGAAAATTTACGATTACGTATTTATCTATTGGCTATTTTTTGCTGAGTTAACAGTTAATAATTAGGGATGTCAACAGCCAGTTGTGATTTTAAACTTTTGGGCCATTTTTGTATAGTAAAAGTTTGTTATAAATTCTACTTATTTTGATTATTTTTATAATATATAATTTTTATCCCTAACATAGAACATGGATTGTTGGTTAGTATCTACAAAACTTTGTACCAAAAAAGAAAAATAAGCATATTTTTAAAAAAATACATTCATTTTTTTTTTTTACACAGCATTACCAGAAATTCAGAAAGGGTACACAAAAGTTATAAGCTTGGGAAACACTGCAATATAACAATCAAAGTTTAATCATTTGACTCAGAAAAAATTTCAAAGAAATTATTTAAACCTATACTTTATTTGATTTTATCACATAATAAAAGTAAAGCACCTTGAACACCCTTTGAATGACATCATGACCCATTGAATAATTTAATTATTTTCCTAAGTGGTAGTAATTAATTATTCATAATCTGAGAAACTTTTTTCAAAGAATACCTTTACTTTATTTGATGTTATCACATAATAAAAGTAAAGCACCTTGACACACCCATTGAATGACATCATGACCCACTGAATTATTTTCCCAAGTGGTAGTAATTTATTATTTATAATCTGTGTAACCTTTTTTTTCTTCAAAGAATACCATAAATTTATTAATCGTACATTACCTCTTTGAAAATTGTATTAATGTTTTTTTTTTTTATGTGAAATGTAAGTCACCTATTCTGTGGTTATTTTTGGTTTAAACATTTTGCACATTTTAGAAAATAGTTACATTTTTCATTTGACTACATTAAAGCCTTTTAAGAGCATTTCAAAATATGTAATATAAACTTTTTTGTTTCATAAATTTTTTTACCAAATGCTCAAACTAAATATACTTACATTTCTTCAGTTCCAGGCACCAAATTTTTCTCTGATGCTTCTTTAACGTTGCTAAACAATTTGGAAATTAATGACTAGAGAACAAAAAATATAAAATTAATCATTCTCCATAATAAAAAGAAAAACTGGTCTAAATAATTTTTAACATAATTGAATTTATACAATATTTTAAAATAAAGTTTACAAAGATATATAAGTGAAATCTAAAATCGAAATAAATTAACAATAGATTTTTTTAAAATTAACTTCAGTTTTAATTAAAATTAAAAAATAAACTTTTTTCTCGTAAGATATTAATTTCATTTTTAAACATATTTTTAAAAAATACAATGCGCAATTTTACAATATGCCCTTTGAAACTTGTTTTTGAAATATTAAGGACTGTTTAATTTTTACATTAAACTTGTAGTGGAATAGTTAGCAGTAAAAATAATGCAAAAACATTGATAAATTCTAAATGTGCATTAAATTAGGAATACAAATTAAATTATTTTTATAGAAAAATATTCCATACATAAAGAACAAAAAGTTTTTTTTCTTTGTTTACAAATTACAAAAATTAAATTTTATCTCAAAAAATTAAATGTTATCTTATTTATGTTCCTAATGAAAAAAATTAAATTTATTACTGCATAAAAAATATTTTAATATGTTGTGCGGATATGTGGTTGCTAAAAACTTACTTAGTGGATGTGTGGTTGCTAAAAACTTACTAAGAAACTTTCATTACTTTGACAATTTTTATTGTTGTCAGCAAATTGCAGTTCAGTGTTATTAATTGAATTCAATATTTATTCACAATACATTTATTCGTTATAAATTTATGTTGAAGAGACCAACTCATGTATACACTAAAATATTAAATAAAAAACAACAAAAGAAAATACCTTATTTTTTCCAAGACTACTCTTTCCAGCAGAATTTCTATCTTTGCTGTAAAATTTAATTAAAAACTTTGAAACATTGTTTTGATTAGGTATATATTTTAGTTAAAACAAGTTTTTTCGAAAAGATATGAAATTTANCATATTTACTAATACAAATTAATGAGAGGGGAAGAGATCTCTTTCCCTCTCATTATTTCATTTATTTCTAATTATTTACAGTAACATATTTTAGTTTTTTTCTTGTATGTGCTAAGATGTTAAAATAAATATTTATATTAAATACTTAAATGATATGTTGACATACTATGTTAATATAAGATTGTGTATGTAAATAATTATTTGTGGTTCACTTGATATATTTTTTAATTACATGTGCAGCTAATTAATTATTAAATAATCACAAATCTTGCATTACTTACTGACATAAAATTGTAAATTCCTCATTTTATCAGATCTTAAATAGATTTAATTTAATTTAAGATAGCAAACTTTATAATACAAATATTGTTTGATCAATATTTTTGCTTTAGAAACATTTTGCTTCATTACATGATATTTTTTCAAACAGTACATAAAAATACACAATTCAAATACGGCTAATTATAGTATAAGATTTTTTTTTTAAAAAAATTTATAATAATAAATTATTATGATTTTCTTTAAAAAAAAAGGTTAATAATTATAATCACTTTATAATAAATGATTATGATTTTCCTTAAAAAAAGTTAATGATTTAGACAAAAAAATTTTTTTTAACAATACAGGAACTAAAACAGTCATTTTAGCAGTAATTAGCTACAATTTTGGAAGTAATTTTTCATATTGAATTATTTTAGCTTTATGATACTAATTCTGAAGTAGCAATATTAATTTTTCAAAAGTCACAACACAGAATATACCTGATATGTAATCATTCTTTTCTCGTCACCTGTTCCTTCTGTAGGATTCTCTGCATCAAAATCTTCTTCCCTGTCAAATATTTATTTTCCAATTAAAACAAAATAGGCAAACAAAGTAAATATTAACGAAAATTTCAAAAATTTTCATTTGAAAACAAAGCTAGCCATGAAAATTTACAATTACGTATTTATCTATTGGCTATGTTTTGCTGAGTTAACAGTTAATAATTAGGGGTGTCAACAGCCAGTTGTGATTTTTTACTTTTGGGCCATTTTTGTATAGTAAAAGTTTGTTATAAATTCTACTTATTTTGATTATTTTTATAATACAAATTTTTATCCCTAACATGGATTGTTGGTTAGCATCTACAAAACTTTGTACCAAAAAAGAAAAATAAACATATTTTTAAAAAAATACATAAATTTTTTTATTAGTGGTACACAGCGTTACGAAAAATTTAGAAAGGGTACACAAAAGTCACAAGTTCGGGAAATGCTGCAATATAGCGATCAAAATTTAATCATTTGACTTAGAAAAAGTTTCAAAGAAATTATTTAAACCTTTACTTTATTTGATGTTATCACATAATAAAAGTAAAGCTCCTTGAACACCATTTGAATGACATGACTCACTGAATTATTTTTCCACGTGGTAGCAATTTATTATTTATAATCTGTGCAACTTTTTTTTTCAAAGAATACCATAAATTTATTAATCATACATTACCCTTTTTTTTTTTTTTGAAATGTAAGTCACTTATTGTATGGTTATTTTCGGTTTAAACATTTGGTTAAACATTTTGCACATTTTAGCAAATAGTTAAATTTTTCTGAGTTTTTTTATTTGACATTAAAGCCTTTTAAGAGCATTTAAAAATATGTACTATAAACTTTTTTTTTAATGAATTTTTTCACCAAATGCTCAAGCTAAATATACTTACATTTCTTCAGTTCCAGGCACCAAATTTTTCTCTGATGCTTCTTTAACGTTGCTAAACAATTTGGAAATTAATGACTAGAGAACAAAAAATATAAAATTAATCATTCATCATAATAAAAAGAAAAACTGGTCTGAATAATTTTTAACATAATTGAATTTATACAATATTTTAAAATAAAGTTTATAAAGATAAGTGAAATCTTTAATAGAAATAGATTTTTTTTAAAAAATTAACTTTAGTTTTAATTAAAATTAAAAAATAAACTTTTTTCCCCACAGATTTTAATTTAATTTAGTTTATTTTTAAACATATTTAAAAAAAATACAATGCACAATTTTACAATATGCATTTTGAAACTTGTTTTTGAAATATTCAGGACTGTTTAATTTTTATATCAAACTTGTAGTGGAGTGGTTAGCAGTAAAAATAATGCAAAAACCTTAATAAATTCTGAATGTGCACTAAATTAGGAATACAAATTAAATTATTTTTTTAGAAAAATATTCCATACATAATGAACAAAAAAAATTTTTTCTTTGCTTACAAATTACAAAAATTAAATTTTATCTCTATGTTCTTAATAAATTTTTTTATTTATTTATTACTGCATAAAAAATATTTTAATATGTTGTGTGGATGTGTGGTTGTTAAAAACTTACACATCCTCTAGTTGCTAAGAAACTTTCATTACTTTGACAATTTTTATTGTTGTCAGCAATTTGCCGTTCAGTGTCATTAATTGCATTATTTATTCATAATACATTTATTCATTATATATTTGACTATAAATTTATGTTGGAGAGACTCATGTATACACTAAAATATCAAATAAAAAAAGAAAATACCTTATTTTTTCCAGGACTACTCTTTCTAGCAGAATTTCTATCTTCGCTGCAAAATTCAATTAAAAACTTTGAAACATTATTTTGATTAGGTATATATTTTAGTTGAAACAAGTTTTTTCAAAAAGATATGAAATTTAGAAGCACATAAATTTTAATGAAATCAGAAGGAAAATTAACTATGGAATGAAGAATTGGCATAAACTAGTCAGAGGTGGTTGTATAGCAGAAAAAAAAACAGACCAAATAACAATATCTTTAAACTACACAAAAATCTAAATTTTTTCTAATACCTTCTTTTGTGCAATGAATCGGGTTTAGATACTTTCTCTTTAAATACAGAAATATCTTTATTTTCCTTCAACATTAGTGAAATGCTTTCTATTTCTTTCAAATAACTTTTATGGGAGTTCATCTGTTCATCAAGCTAAAACAGAAAAAGAAATTTAAAAAAAAAAGAAAAAATTTAATAAGCTTTTACTTTTAAATGCAATTCATATTGAGAAAAAAGTATGAATATACAACATATTACATATGAAATATTAAATCATTGATTGGTCTTAGAAAAACTAAAAGATAATAAAACAAAAGTAAAGATATTAAAACAAGATGATGAAAAGAATACTGTTAATTACTTGTTCTTAACTAAAAAATAACCAAAACATTTTAACAAAACAATTGACTTACATTTTTAAACTGTTCTATTTTTTTATAAATGGGATGATTTTCAGGTACATCTTCTGAACATTTCAGGTAGAAATAAAAATTAATATTCAATAAGTAGCTGTAAAACAAATAGCATTATTTAATCACACAGAATAAGCAATTAGGAACAGATTTCAGTGTGATACTAATGAGTATATATAACTTATTAACTTTATTTTTGTCAGAAATAAAGAAAAATTTAAATAAATTTCATCTTTCTTTAAGAGAATTTTTATGAAATCAAACAATGCTGTTTAAATTTATAAAGGACTTTCTTAAATAATCATATGAAGCTGGTAAAATTTATAAAACATAGCTGTAACTATTGTTTACATTTTATTACTACTCCATTAATCATTGGTGCATAGTTCAGATAAGCGGTGTACAAACAAATAAAACAATTAATTGTTTAATAATTAATAGACTCTGACTTATATTTTTAATTTTTAGATACTACAAAAATGTAAAAATTATTAATAAATGTTTCCTTTAACCTTCTAAGAGGCCAGTTATTGAGTGAAATACACTGAAATTTCCCAGCTTACACATGAGTTTCTTATTAAGAAATGTAAAATAAAAATTGGATTTTTGATACAGAATAGCTACTAGCAAGTCTTGTTTAAGTCCAGAAACTTACAGGATTAAAAATATACATAACGCTTTCATTGAATTTGTAGGAAAAAAATAAAAAACAAATGATGGAATTGAGACTAAATTATATTTAGGGATCTAAATTCATGAAATATAAATTTAAATTAGAAAGTTGTTATACACTTACTGTAAAAGGATGTGATATTTGAGTTTTATGAAATAGACCAATTTTTCATCAAGCTCTACTCTTTCAGACAGCTCTAGGAGAGGAGCTAATTTTTCATTTACCTCTGAAAACTAAAAGATAAAATAAATAATTATAAAAGAGCAACAAAAATTCCTGTTAATAGTATTATTACTTAAATTAAGAACTTCTAAAGAGAGATAGATATTCTCTGAGGTTAACATAATAGCTTTTCTTTTATTACTGCATTTAAACACATTCCAGTGATTTGTAATTGATGATACAAGCTAGAGGTATAATTTTAATGAAAGGAAAATGTTCCTGACGTTCCACAAACAATTATAGTAAAAAGTAATAGATTTTGGTAAGTTTTTAATGCAAAAGTATTTTTTTTAGTAAGAAAAGTAATTTTTTTTATTTTCCAAACTGGCTCCCAATGAATTTGCTACAATTAGGGCAAAACTAAAATATTTGGAGAAAATAAGTTTTTAGCATTGTATTAAAGGCATAAATTTTTTATACATAAAACTGCTCCTATAGTGAGAAATATTAAACTTTTAAGTTTTCTTTAACATTTTAAAATCAGACTATTGAAAAATAAAAAATGTTAAGAGCAATGAGCTAATATTTATGGGGTGTATAAGTTGATCCCCTATTTTGATAACAAAATATTAAATTTTTGATGCCAGATGTATAAGATAACTGCTAAAAAATCCAAATGTCATTAAATCCAACTAAGGTTATTGAATTCAACACAGGTGAAGATGTGGAATTTTTTAAATTTGTAGCTTTTCTTCATATTTCTTATAATTCTTCATTGAGTTAAAATTTTTTAAATACTCTTGAATAAATTATCTTAACCATTCTTATTCTTCATTTAATTCTAAACCTGATTTGAAATATTGTTTATAAGAAAACTTTATACGCAAGGAAAATTTGAGAGAAAATGCAAAATCAATTGTATATAGCATAATAAAAATAGTTTTTTTTAAAAAGGATATTGATACTGAGTAATTCATATCTTTTTTATTGCTTATAATTCCCTGATTTTACATGATTAATGAAAGTTCAACTTTATTAAATGCCACGATTAACAGATGTCAAACTCCATTCAATGTAACTCCACTTTTGAGGGTAGGAAATATCAACTTCCATGCCATATGATACGATAAATGTATTGCGTAATTAATAATAATTGCATAAACCAATAAATAATATATAATAATAAATAAAAAATTATTAAATGGAAAATTAAATAATACTAAATGCAAATTTCATTTAAATGCAAATTAAGTTTCACAACAAAGTAAGCCATTTTATCTATTTATTTTTTTAAATCTACTTTAAAACTTTTTACATACATAACAAATGATTAACAAGTGAAAAAATGAAATCAAATTGAACTAGTATTACCTTTTCCTTGAAATTCTCTTTATACTCAGACAACTTGGGATACTTTCTACTTTCATGCTGAAATTACAATTTAAAGTAAGTAGAAATGTAATAATATCACACAAAATAACACCAATTAAAAATAGTGAAATTTTTAATGAGAAAGATTCAAATTATAAGGCAAATATGAATATTAATGAAAATATGAATATTTGTTCAAAATACCATTTTGAATACATTTATACATAATTACAAATTCCATAAATACAACTGAAAATTTAATTAATGACTGTTGGAATAAGACCAAATATCAAAATGAAATTTTTTAAAAAAAAAGTTTGTTCACAGATAGCAAGTAATAATGCAGTGAAACCTCGAGGGAAGACAACTCTGTGTAGCGACCTCCTTTATTTACAACCACTTTTGGGAGGCAGAGAATTCTTTCCATAGACTTTGTCTTAAAGAAAATCTTTAGGAGAGACCATAAAAACCTCCCTCAGTGACCAGGCAAACCTTTGCCCTAAATTTGGGAAAGGTCAAATAAGGAAACAAGAAAGAATACCAAAACAAAAAATATTAACAAAACAAATAAGTAGATTCAAAATATTTGTGAGTGGCTCTTATTTAGAGAGCTCTTTTTGAAGATTTCTTAAAGAGACCAACAACCTCATATTGGAGTCAAAATACACTAAACAAGATGCTATCAATGATTTATTTTTAGAGTTGAAAGATAAATTAGAAAAAGAAAGTAATTTAATAAAAAAAACTAAGCATCTCAACAAAAAAAACTCTTCTCATTTTTAAAGCTAATTAATTTTTAAGATAAATTAAATTCAAATTTACAGAAAAAGCAAAATTTTTTATTTGATTTAAATAGTTCTAGCACTCTTAATTGGTAAATTTGTTTTTACACATAATTATAATAGTAAGAGTAATTTTTATTAGCTTTAAATTTTATTCATCAATTCGGTTTTCATGATACCAAAACAAGTGGCATTTTTACACTAAGAAAATGCTACCAATTAAAATTAAAACTGCTCGTAAAAAAACATGTACCATCCATAACATTTTGAAGTTAATGAAGGTAATCTTTAAGAACGACCAATCTCCATTAACGATCATTTTACAATTTTATTGTCGAACAGAGAGGTGTCGCTCCCGAGAGTTTCACTGTACAAAAAAAATAATATGATAAAGATTAACGATATATTATATATATATATACACACACACACACACAGTAGAGCGCCGATTATCCGAACTGCTCAGGATCGAACATGTTTCGGATAATGAAAAGTTCGGATAATTGGAAAGCTGTTTAAAATCGAGTTTAAATGATTATTATTTATGCACTAACTTGCCTTCACACTTTTTCCAGGTTTAGGACTGGCAGTACTATCTAAAATAACTCTGTTTAAAAGGGTTTTTTTTTTTCAATTTTTAAATATTTTTTACTTACTTTTTTTTTACTTTTGCTCAATTTGAATTTTTTTTTCATGTTTCAGCTTTTTATAACTTTTTTTTTTGTCAATTACTGATTTTACCACATTTTTCTTTATTTTCCATTGCAAAAGAAATCCAGCAGACTTTTGTTTCAAAGAAGATACTCTTTTTGAGCAGCCATATCCCTCCTTGTTTTTNAACATACAGTAGAGCGCCGATTATCCGAACTGCTCAGGACCGAACGTGGTTCGGATAATTGGAAAGTTGTTTAAAATCGAGTTTAAATGATTATTATTTATGCACTAACTTCCCTTCACACTTTTTCCAGGTTTAGGACTGGCAGTACAATCTAAAATAACTCTGTTTAAAATATTTTTTTTTCTCAATTTTTAAATATTTTTTAACTTTTGTTCAATTTGAATTTTTTTTTCATGTTTCAGCTTTTTATAACTTTTTTTTTGTCAATTACTGATTTTACCACATTTTTCTTTATTTTCCATTGCAAAAGAAATCCTGCAAAGACTTGCTCTATCTAAGAAGATGCTCTTTTTTGAGCAGCCATATCCCTTATTCTTTTTAAATAAAACAACTGGATCAACATCATTTTGAAGTTCTAGCCAATTCATTGCAATATCTAATGAATTGCATTTTTCTATATGAGAAGGTTCACTATCTTGAACTTGATCACCTACTCCTTCCTCTTCGTCTGTAGAGTTCCGATTTTCATTCAAAATTTCAGCAACAATTTCATTATCATTTAAAATTTGAAATCCTGGGAACTTTTCAGTGTCTCGACACCAGTCTTTTTTTTCTTCTGCTGCATAACCTGGCATTTTGCAGTCGGATGATCTACTGGTTCAGAAATTTAGAAAAATTGTTGAAAAGTTAAAAAGTATTTTTAAAAAAACAACAAATTCAGTCATAGTTCGGATAATTGGACGTTCGGATAATCGGCGCTCTACTGTATGTATGTATGTATATATATATATATATAATAAAATAAAATTAAGGAAGCAAATGGCAAGAAGGTAAACATAGTACTTTAATAAATTCTTACAACTGCTAATGAAAAGATAAATTAAGTCTTAAATTTCAAATAACAATAGTTTAAGTATTAAAAATCCAAATTAATAATCAAGATAAAGTATATACCTTTAGCTTTTCAATTTCAAGATTGTCAGCATCTTGTAATTCCCCTTCAGATTTCAATGGAAGCTTCTAAAAATTAATAATAAGTTAGTTTTTTTATAATAAGTAAATTTCTTTTATAATTTATCAACATAAGATTATATAAATACTAGTACAATCTTCATACTAGAATTGAAATAGAAAACAAAATATTTAATAAAAATTACAAGTTAATTTTAATTTCTCTTAACATAGCTTTACAGTACAAATAAACTGCAATAAAATTTTAAAAAGTCAATTGGTTAAACAGCCTGCAATGTTGTTGTCCTGACGGGAAGAGGAGAAACAGTTTCACATATGTTTGTTTTGAGAGAAATCAGATTGTGGTCAATAACAAATATATTCAGCAACAATTTTTATAGAATACCAAAACAATGAGTGAGTATGCATAACTTCCAAAGGATATGAGGGGGTATTTTTAGTGGTGATAAAAGTTTATTACAAAAATGACGCATCCAACATTTTTAATCATTAGACTGACAAAAGCAGAAACATTATCTATTTTTACTATACTTGAACTGCATAAAAATGTTTTACATTATTTTATTACTTCCTTTTTTTGTCATTTGTCTGTTAATTTGTTTATGAAAATTAGTAGAAATTTGGATAATTGATAAAATAGCAAAAAATTTTGTTTATAACATTTAGGCATTAGGCATGGGGCTCCAGTTAAAATTTGTAAAGTCAAAAAGTGGTCAAGAATTTGATTGACATTGAATTCTATTTGGCAATAAATCGCTTTGGTAGCACTCTTATTCTGCTGTTTGTATTGTGCTTGGAGATACAACTACAGTTTTAATTTGATTACTTTAATCAGTCAAAAAGCAATTGGAATTTTTATTTTGCTTGAGATGATGATAAATTATGTTTGTAGCTGTCACCTTGACAACAAACACAGAAACGCAATTGTGGTTTGACCTCCTTACCCATTCAGAACAGGGATATAATTTTCAGTGACAATAAATTTCAATTGGCATTAAATTCTGTTTTTAACAAATAAAAAAGATTAATACTTAAAATATCTTTCAGCCCTGAGCTTCTGTTAAAATTTAAGTGCTCTAGCTTGTTTCAAAGAGATTGGAATTTTGATTGAAAAGGAAATAGCATGTATTTACAATGTTTCCTCAAAATAACAAATACATAAGATACAAATTATGTACTATAATTAAAATGGGCTTCTTTACAGGGTGACAAAAAATAACTAGAACTAAGTTTAAAAACTAAACATTTTGACCCAACAATAAAAATTTCAACATTTTTGATGTCAAGTATTGAACTAAGCACTGTTCCAAACAGGTGCATGAAAGTTTATTACGTTATCCACAACACATAGAGCTAAACCCTTACAAAAATTTTAGTATTTTTTGAGGTATCCCTTGATTTAAGGTTAATTTCAAAAACAACCTTAAAAGATCAACGTCTCAAGGTGTATAAAAATTCTTATTCACACTAGAGGTTGTTGGAAATCTACTTTAGAGCAACCAGCTTAGAGAGGTTATTTTTAAGATTTACAGGCTATTGGCTATTTTTTCTGCAATTCAAGCAAATAAGTATATTTGAGGTGTGAACAATTCCATCCAATCTAAACTAAAAGTATTGCAGAGGTATTTTATGATATGAGGATGATTTTATGAGATGCTAATGAGGTTAAAATTGAGGTTTATTACTGAGATTATTTTTGGAGCAAAAAATAACCTCATTTTCTACCTTTTTTTTTTACATTTGCCTACCTCAAAAACTTTTTTTTTTTAAAAGAAGGCGCCACCATAATAGGGCAAGGCATTCTTTTCAAGCACAAAAATAATAGCCAGCTTATTCATAAGATTTGAATATGTTTTAACAAGCATGTTAAATGAAAACATGTACATATGCCCAAGAGATTTCTTGTGGGTCTGTATAAATAATGAACTTGAAAAAATATATACTAATACTCTAGAAAAGGCTTTGGAATTAGCAGTTCTATTACAATCTTGATAAATAATGCAAAATTATTTGAAAAATACAATAAAAATTTTAATATAAAATTACTTACTTTTGATATGAGTTCAAGAGCTCTGTCATAATCTTCCAAATATGCCTAGAAAAAACATGTATATAGAATGTAAAAAAAAAACAATTTTAATAAGTTTATAAAGCTAAATAAAACAAATTAAAATGTTATCTTGAAGCATATATTTACAGACTGATCAGATCCTCACACTTCAAATATTTTACTTAAACTAAAAAAAAATGAGGTTTCGAACAATATAGCTTGAAAAACAAGAAAAAGAAAACAAAACTTTATTTTATTTGCACATTAAAAAAAATTATTTCTGCAATAAAAGAAAAAAAATTCTAAAGTGTTTTTTACGAAGTAGAACAATATTTTTTTTTACTTTTGGAAAACGAAAGGCTAATAATGAAATAAGCATTAAAAATACAAAAAAAAAAACTTTTGACAGTCAGACATTGTTCGCATTACTATACTTCAAATTTGAGTTTTTATCTGGAAGAAAACTATTTCTTCCAGATAAACACAGGAAGAAACTTATATTTTAAAATCTATATAATCTATTATGATAATTCGTTTTTAAGCATGAATAATGTTATCTTTACTTTTCTAAAAAGGAACACTTAGATGGGTAGTTCACTGTAAAAGTGAAGTATCACTTAGTAAATGAATTTTGGAACAATGAGCTTTTTATAATGATACGTGTATGAAAATAAACACAAGCAGTAGTCAATATTGACCTCTATGGCACTTTAATGTATTGTAGTTGCTTCACTTTTATAATGAAAGATATGACTAAATATGGTACAATTAATGTCAAAAATTACATCATTATAACTATGGAGTTGCACCACTTTTTAACGCTTATGTAGATGAATAATATTACAAAAAGAGTGTTTAGTTAAAAGCAAAGTCTGCTCTTAAATAATTTTAATTCATAGTTGATAATTGCATTCCGATCGAATTATTTGTGTTTAAGAATTAATTCTAATTATTGCAAATATTCTTTTAAAATATGAGTTGGTCAAGATTTTTCCAACTGAATAAGTTTTTATTAAATTTTTTTTTTTAAATATCAATAACTTTTTAATTTTGCTTTCTACATCTTATATAATGAAAATAGCTTTTTTTTAATTATATTATTTATTATAAACATCAAGAGCTAATTTTTTATTCTAAAATTATAATATAAGTAAATAATACTCAAATTGCTGACAAGTAACAAATATAAATAATTAAACTAGATGTGAACAGTAAGCTGTTTTAAAAATGTATTAATATTTGATATTTATTCTTAAAAAATTCTTCCACTTGGATTAGAAGAAGCATATGTCTAAGTAATCAATAAAAAATATGTAGTAATTTTAGTTGCTATCTTAATTTTGCTGCCTTAATTGTTATTACTTCTTATTTTCTTCAAATTTTATTACTGTTTTAACTATTTTTTTTTCACTCTCTAAGAAATAAAATAAAACTAAATAGTGTCCATGAAAGGAATTCATAAAAAATTATACGATATCATAATAAAAAAACTTTGGGTTAAATATTTTTAGATTTTTTTAAATAAACTTAAGTTTATTTTAAACAGCACATTTTTTAAAATGTATGGTATTTGAATAATGATTTTGAAACAAAGGTTATAATCATTAAGGCTATATTTTTCATAAAATTTTGGTATAAACTGTTATTGCTCAATTTAATATATAATGGAAAATGTTATTTGCTGTTTCAACATGAAACAATAGCATAGCAAAACAAAATCGAGAAACATAACTGAATTTGTGTAATCAATACCAATGACCTCTTTCTAATAAAAATTTCTAAAAAACATTAAATACAAACAATATTTTTTCAAGTTTCTTTTTAAAAAGAGTATAAAATAAAAAATTAAATAATAAAATAAAAATTACTGAAGATTCAAATCTATCTAGCTGCATTGCCGTTTCCTGTTGAAGGCCTGCTGCTTCCCTTTCAGCATTTTCAAGTTCTAAATCTTCTTCTCTATAGGCTAAGACATAAAACATTTCAATTAAAATTTATGACAAATAAAAAGCAATGCATAAACTATGAAATTTTTTCAATAAACTTACTCTTCCCTCTGTCTTTGTCAACAAAATCTGCATTATAGTATATGCTTTTCTTCTTGCCCCAATTATTTAAATCAGGCAAATCTAAAAATAAGTGTTAAAAAAAAATACATTAGAATAGAACAAAGTAAATGTTTTGAAATACACAGAAAAACTGCAGTTAAAATTTTTATAAACAGATGTTTTAGTCATTCTTAAAAAAAGACTAAAACATCTGTTATCTCATGAAGATGAAAGCCTTCAGTAAATATATAAATGATGAATGCAGAGAGGGTGACATGAGAATCTTTTTATGTTTCAGGAAATTGAATGTTATTGCTCAAAACTTCCAATAACAGCAGCTGCTAAGACCCCAAAATAAAACTTTATTTTTTAAAAAAAAAAAGGGGGGGGCTTTGCTCAGAGATTAACAAGGAATAATGTTTCAGATCAAATATTCAATTACTAATACTATAAGGCTTACTTTACATTAATATGTCAGCTTGAGATTACTCTTGGAAAAAAAATTGATAATAATGAGTATAACGTATATACATTATTTAATTTTGAGCATTGTATTCAATCAAATTCTTTGTAACTCAAGATTAAAGATTTAAAGCTTAAAAAAATACTTAGGAGGAGTGTTTTTGACTGAATAAACAACAGTCATAAAATTATACAATGAAATAATTTTTAAGACTAGTATAACTCTGAAGGGGAAAAAATGACATTTTTTTTAACATAAAGTTGTTGTTTTTAAATCATTGCTTTATACTTAAAATAAATTTTGCAGGAAAAAATTATTATTAATGAAAGTAAAAATGTAATATTGATATGAATTTTTAAAATGCAATTCTGAACAATTAGGTTTATTTAACAATTATTATTTAAAAACTTCTCTAAATATTATGAGAATAAGGAAATAACTGTGTGCATTATTAAAATATCCTTAAGCATAACTAGCTAAAAAAGATGTACCTTCATCTTCATTTTCACCTTCCTCCTCTTCTTCTGAGCTATCATTTTCATCGTCTGTAATCGGAAGAACTTCCTCCTAATTAAGTTAAACTTAATAAATCAATTCATAAGCAAAAGAAAGCATTTATAACTTATAAAATATGCAATTACAATATTAACAGTTGAAAAGCATTTAATTTCCTTCAAACAAAAATTTGATGCAAGATATACAAATAAATTCTTGGCAACTTATTTTCCATTTATATAAATTTGCATTAGAAGCATCAATGGTGTAATAATTAGTTATTTAGTGAATTTTTATTTTTATTTTATTTATACATTGCCTGAAATCCAATGTTATATAAAAACATTAAAGATACATAAATAGCACTTTACTGATGTTATCCTAATAAATCTAAATAATATGTATTTACCTCACTGGAGCTATCCTCTTGAAATTGAGTATTGTCATCTTCTTCAACAGAATCCTAATAAAAAAATCAAAGTAAAGATGAAAAATTAGATTTTATTTGTTTATTTAAACTTTATATTGGCAGCATGAGTCTTTAATTTTGTTGATAAAATAAATTAATGAAATATATATATAAAATTCAAAGATATATTAAAATGTCTAAACTAAAGAACAAACATAAAAGTATAACAAATGTTTACATGCAAATTATTGTTAAAATTTTAGAGATATTTTGTTTTGGCATGATCTGAGTACTTTGTTTTTAGAAACTTGTACTTGCAAGATCTGTTATTAAATGCAGAGATTTCAAAAATGATATGTTTTAAAAACCATGCGTTGTGATTCTTTTCTTTGCAATTCAAAGATCATACATCATATTTTGTATTTACAAGATTCAAAAATCATACATCTCGATTCGTAATTACACCTTTTAAAAATCATATATCATGGAAAGGAAAAGCACTATCTGAGATGAATTTTCGAAACTAGTGAAGCTGTTAATCTTAAGCGTAAGTTGTTAATCTTCTCATATCAATAAGGCAATAGTTTATGTTAAATAATTGTTTTTCAGGATGAATTTGGTAAGTTCTAAATTAAGGAACAGCTTCTTTACAAAATCATCAAAATTTTTATTTAATGACCTTGAAAAGCTAGTAGATCAAATTATCACAATATTTTTAAGTTCTGCAATATGCAGAAACCATTTAGAAACTTTTTAAACCATTTTCTACTCACATGAACCATTTCATACTTATAATTATATGCTAGAGAATAATTTGCATATCATTAAATTTTTCAATTGTAAAAAAAAGTGTAATCAAGATTGCCTTTTGAATAAAAAGTTTGCTATTTCCAACTTAATCTTCTATTGAAAAAAAAAAAAAAAAAAAAAAAAAAAAATGATGTGGTCAATAGTAGTACTGTATTTACATAGATGTGGTCAAGGGTCACTGTAGTTACATTTAATAAATCTGTTAGATTAATAGTACCCATAATTATAAAGTTGCCGATCATAACACAATTTTCTATAAGGATTCCAATGATTTGCTTAAACTTGCATGAAAAAACTCACTTATAAACTTTTATTTTGATCCCACAAAATTAGGGTAGCGGGTTTGCAGTAGGTAAAAAAAAAAAGATTAAAATTCTCAAGAAGTGGGAAATTTTTTTGTGAAAACAAAGTTTAAAAAAATGCACTAAATAAGTTTTGAAAGACATTGGTCTAATTTAATGTCTACAACTTAAACATTGGAATTTCCTACTACAGTAGGGAATCGATTATCCGGAACGATCGGGACCATCGCTATTCCGGATAACTGATTTTTCAGGTTTTCTGAATCGCTACAAATAGCCGTTTTTTTATTGTTAAACCCAACTAAAAAAAAGAAATATTTGGTCTAATCTTAAAATATTATCTTAAAAATTATCTATTAAATAATCTTAATTATCTATTAAATAATCATATAAAGAAGAAAAAACAATGAAGTAATACACTAATGATTATTTCCAAAATGATGGTAAGGTAAACATCTTTCAAAAAAGAAAGAAAAATATTAAAATCTTATGAGGAAAAAAAAAAATTATTTTTAAAAATGGCGGAAAAATGTATTGAATTTTGTTCCGGTTTTTTGGTTTCCAGATAACGAGTTCTGCACTGTATATCTCTTCCCACCTCTTTATTATCTTCTTCCTTTATTATTATCTCGTTATTTTTATCCCTAGTAGTTAAGCCACTTTTCTACTTACTGCTACATGTATGTTTCGCTAATTTTTGATCAATATTTTATGTATAGACACTAAGTTAGGTTTTTGTTAGAACTAAAACTACAGTATATCCATTGCTGTGCTTTTAATTGTGCTATATTCATGGTGTTTTGCTTTACTCATACATAACACCAAATATATTATCATTTGAATGTCAATGTTCTGTTCTAGATTTCCATAACTAGATTGATTTTACTTCCTCAATGTATAAATACTTCCACAATGTATAATTAATTCATGCATTGTAAAAATATAAACAAAATTGTAACATATAGTAATTTTTAAGATGTATTTATAAAAATCATGAGAAACATGTTCTAAATTGTGTAAAGATTCAATAATCAGAATTTATAAATTGCAAAAATTTTAATCTTGTTATAAATTTAATTTGGGGTAGATAAAATATTTATAACGTAAACATTTCGAATACTAATACTTTCCTATTTTACAAGCATACAAACACTTTGTCATGAGGAATTTTTCCTTTGCTTATGAGACAAAATTAAATAATAAAATTCTTTTTTTCATTTTTATTATTTATACATAATTTGCTTAAGCATACTTAAATACCTAAAAACTGGACAGGAGTCTCAGAAATAAAATTTTTAGGTCAGATTTTCTCAAAAATTTTAGAAAAGTAACATAATAATTTTACAATATAATTTATTAAATATGCTTAAATTTACGCAATAATAAATTATAATTTACTTCTCCTTCATGTTCATCAAAACTATTTTCTTCGACATCAAGTGGAATTGAACCTTTTAGTTTCTTCATATAGGCTTTGCTACGCGCCGCAGCTTTACTGGAAAAGAAAGAAAATTAGAAAAAAAATCTTACAATATAAATAAGAATATTATAAACTGATTGAAATACTTACACCTTACGGCTTTTCATTGTGAGTTTTAATTGATAGGAGTTTAAATTAGCAGTGAAAACGACTATAAGACAAGTAATCTGAACACATGTAAATTCGTACAATGTTTATTTACTAGAATTATAAACGTTTCCGGCTACTTATTTCTAGAAATAATAATACTCTTTATAAAAATGTGCAACATTAAAGTCTCAAGTAATAGACGAAGTCAATGTTTAAAAGAAATATTGAACTTTTCTTAATCGTGACCGAAACTTGAAAAAAATAAATAAAATTATTTCTTTGAGGTTATCTTCAAGAAGTCAAATTTTGTGCATTTGTTTTGGTAGTAATATTCGTCTAAAATGAGTTCTAAATCTGAAGATTTTGTAGGAGAAACTTGGGACTATTGTCTCGCTGATTCACTTGTGAAATTAGGTATTTTATTAATAAAATTTTGGTTCCACAATATTAATTGCATTAACATCAATTCTTAGTGCCGGTTTCATTTCTCTTCTAGAAAATATTTTTCTAGATTAATTTAAAATATATATATATTTAATATTTATTCTTTGTTACTGCTTTCTTGTCTTATCATTGATAGTTATAAGAAAGCCACAGATTATAATTAATACGTTTCCACAATATACTTGGTGCAATATTTTACAAAATTCATTGGAACCTTATTAGTGACACAAAAATCCATTCAACCTAAGTATGTCTTAAGAAAGAAATTAATTTCCTGTGTTTCTTAAAATTCCTATATTTCTGATCAGAATTTTCAATAAAGAGAATTTTTCTTCTATCAGTACCCCCAGATGTATGATTTGTTATGGGAACAGAGAGAACTTTGTGAACATAGAGAACTATCGGAAACGCTTTTAAAAAGGCAGCGCTATCATATAAATGCAGATAAAGAAAAATATACAAAATCAAAACAGAAAAAATATAAATTTTTGAACAGAAATTTTAAAGCTAAACATCTCAGTTTTCCAATTACCCTATTTTCAAGAAAGTTTAAAGTCTACTAAAAGCCCTCTCAATTTTTTGAGTTATAATTAAAACGTCTCTAAGAACAAAAGTATTTATAAAAGAAGCTAAATAGAAACCGAAACAAAATTCATTCTTTAATTTTTAAATGAAAGATTTAATGCTAAAAATCTCGATTTAACTATCTTACATTGCCATATTTTTTTTAAAAAGTGACTTTAAAAGAATATCGTTCATTAGATGCATCATAATAAAAATGCTGTTAAAAGGAAAAAATTTGTTTTTACTTCTGAAATATAATTTAAACGTTGAGAATCACAATTTTCTATGTTACTGGTTATCTGTCTTAGTGAAAAAAGTGAAAACCAAAGAATGAAGTCTACTAGAATGCACTATAATTAATACAGAAAAACATGCAAAAATGAACCAAATAAAATAAAAAAGTTCTCCATTTTTAATATTTAAAGTGTTGAAAAAATGACAAAATTACCTTAAAATTAAAAAAAAATATCAATACAAAACTCATTGTTCAGTATGAAGTTATCTAATTTCAATTCTTCAAATTTGGCTTTGCTATTTGTCTTACAAAATATAAATTTTAGAACTTAACAAATATGTATATGTATAAAAACAATTCTTAATAATGTATGGTAAAAAATCCGATTTTAGATAAATCTTCACTAAATTTATTCAAATTTTCTGGAAGAAAATTTTTTTTTTTTAAAAATACTTTTCCAAATAATACTTTGCCAAACATTTGCTCAGTTATTGGGCCAATCAAATCTTCTGCAAAAAGGCTGAATAGTGGCGAAATATTCGTTACATTCCTAGTTATAAACTAAGACTTATGTTAAAAAAATGTTCTCTATCTAAATATAAAAATAAAATCTAAATATAATAATTGGATTGTACTTTGTTTTAACTGTAATAAAACAAAAATTAATCTTCCTCTTTTGTATTTTTCTTCTATCAAACTATTTTTCTTTTTTTTTAATATGGTAAGTTAATTTGTGTTAAAAAAAGATATTTCGCCAGAAATTTTGATATGAATCTTGTGTATATTGTTGTTTAAGGTTCTGGATTAGCAGTTGGAACAGTGCTTTCTCTTGTCATGTTTAAAAGTAAGTTTTTTAGTATTTAAAATGCATTATTTCTTTGTTAATACTGTTGAATGTTCAATTTCATATTTTACCTTGTAAAAAGTATTCTTCCAAACTTATTTGAAATATACAGGTATGATATTCTTACCACTTATATTCCCTACTAAATGCTAAATCTTATTTTCTGTTGAAAGGGTTTTGTTTTAATTTTAATAATTTTTAACCCTATAAACTTTCTTTAAATCAAAGTATTTAACTTGCATTTATTTTAATAACTAGAATATTTATTTATTTTTAATTAATTCTATGAGCAAATTTTTTAATGTTAAAATTTACATTTAAATGGACTTTTGTATTATGTAATACAGGTATGATAAAAAAAAAAAAAAACATGAATTTTCCCATAGTTTTTTTATTATTTCAATTTATCAAAAAAAAAATTCTCATAAATTGATTCTGATATTCGGATTCTGTTTCTTTTTTTTAAAATAGTTTTGCAGTTTCTAATTTAAGACATTTAAAAGTATTTAATTTTATGCAAAGATATTACAAGGTTTGCTGTCAATATGTATGTCTAAATACTTTGGCATGTGGCCCTTCACTCAAAAAGGTTATGTACCCCTACTTTAAAACAAAGTGGAACCTTCTATATTTCCCCAAACTTATAGAAAATGAATATCCTTTTGTCATAGATGTTAATTTATTACACTCATTGTTGTAAAATTATTAACACTGAAAAAAAAGAACATGTTCAAACCTAAATTTCAAAATATTTTAAATAAATGATTGTATTTATTCATTTTTCTTTTGCATTGTAAATATTTGCATTGTTTGGGCAATAAGTACACAATTTTGTCAATTGAAATTTTTTATACTTCTTTTAAATTTATTATTTTTTACTTCCATTATTTCTTTATTATATACCTTCCATACATTTTCAAGTAATTAGGGTGACCCGGGGTAATTCAGGATCACTCTGTTTCTGGGGTAAATAATGATCACATAAGTTTTATTTTAAATTTTTTTCTTTTTTTTAAATTTGAGACATGGACAAGAATGCTTGTACACTTTACTAAAGTATAACTACATTTACTTAAGAATAGTTTTTTGTTTAATCTAGCAATATAAGCATCTTTTAAACTGCTTTCTGTATTTTCAGTTTCAAAGTGTGCACATTTCTGCAAAGATCCCTCTCCTTCTCTTAATAATAAATATTTTGAGTTACTTTCTTTTTCTTTGATATGAAAATAGTGTAAGCTTTTGTTTAATTATTTCACATCTACTGCAAACATTGTAATTGATTATAGGAAACTATATCAAATGTTGTTCCCTACAGATGTTTCTTAAATAACAGTTCATATTTATTAAGTGGAACAACTATAAAATATATTTTAACTGTCATCACAAAATTTGTTTTTAACTATGCACAAGACTGTATTCTGATTTGCACCATTTCTGGTTTGTCTTACCTTGCTTCTATCTTAATTTTATGTGTGTACATTGTTAGAATAATTTTTAAGTTTATAAATTAGCCTAGTATAAATATGGTGAGAAATTATAAGTCTAAAAAGGATACTAAGCTTCTAGAAAGCAAAAATAGTGAATTTCTTTTAATGATTGAAAATGAAAATTTAAGTGTGAGAGCTCCTGCCAGAGCTGTTGACGTACCTTACTTAACACTTTCCCTTAATAAAGTTAAAAAAAATCCAGTGAAAGTAACCCGTGTGGGAACTCTCTTATATTTCAGCAGAACATGAGAAAAAGTTGACTGATTGCCTAAAATGTATGGCACGGTGCAAAGATTTTTGGAAAATTTAAAGTGTTAATCTTTCTTCTTGCTTTTAAATCAGTCGTTTTATTAGCTGCTTAAACATATCTTTTTGGTTTATTTGTTTGATCTTGATGTCTTATTTATTAATTACCATTATGTAATAATTTTTTAACAGCCCCTTTAGAATAAAAACTGGTGATCAGTAATTACCTCAGAAGTGATCAGGAATTACCCCAGAAATGATTAAGACCAGGGGTTATTCCTGATCACTAAAAATTTAAAAGCTTTTAAATTCTAATTAGATTTTCAAACAACAGATGGTGGCATAGGACTAATCTCATATAGCTTCAAACTTCCAGTAAATATTAAAATTCTATCTTGAATAGTTTTTTCACAAAATAGATGTTTGCATTTTTTGATCAGCAATTACCCCAGGTCACCCTATATGACATTTTATGTTGATCTGCATTCTTTTTATTTACAATGAATGGTGTCATAAAAAGAAAGCGATGTATAGCACGCCCAAAAAAAAGTGGACCAGTCTGAATCAAAATAACTTTTGATCAAATGACCCAATCTTCACATTCTAGGACTTAGCCCTTAATGATTCAAATGTGCTAAGTAATTAGTTAGGTCGCACGCAAAAATGTATTTTCTCTAAATAAATATACCTTTTCCCCCCTCAATATATAGGGTGTAGATACAATCTAGGACATATGGTCCTAATAGTTTAGTCGGAAAAGCAGTCACACCTTATATTTTGGGGTAGAAAATCTGAATCTGTCAAAAAAAAAGGGCATGTTTACTCAGAGAAGGTACATTTTTGTGTCTGATTTCATAACGTAAAGTATTGTCTGCACTATTTAATTAGCATATTTGAGGTCACCCACTTGAACCATTAAGATTGAGTCTTAGAACACTGTTTGTGCACTGTTCAAATACTACTAATATATTTAGCAGTTCTCATTTTATTTGGTATTTTCATTAAACATAAGCTACATTTGTTTTTAATTTACAGATGAGTTTTAAAAAATTATTGTACTATTTGTTTAGAATTGAATTGTTTATGTTTGTAACAAAAATTTATTTGCTGTTTTTACCTTTAGGAAAGAAATGGCCTATAATATTTGGTATGGGGGCTGGTCTTGGAATGGGCATTTCAAATTGTCAGCATGCTTTCAGAGATCCTCATCTAACTAAAATGTTGAATTATAAGGTATGTAAAAAAGATTATGAACATTTAGATCAGTATTTATTATTTAAAAAGTAGAATTGGTATTTTATAAAATAAATGAATAATTATATGCTTTTACTGAATATTTCTTATTTTGGTTATTTATAAAATGCATTTTATAAGTGTGTAATAAATTTTTAAAACCACGATTTTATAATTCTACAGATCAAAAAAGTTAACTACCTTTGATTTATACTTTTTTTAATTTAATTGTTATTTGTTGTTAAATTTTTTTTTAAATTACAAATTTCTTTTTAAAAAATGTTTTTAAATAAGGTTAATAAAAGAATGCTCTGAAAAATTATAGGTTGTACTATAGGAGTTTTTTTAAAAAATTACCCTTGGAAATGTATCTTATATACAGATGAAAAAGCAGGGAGTAGATTTTCCGGAGTAAATTATTGATTTGAAATACGGGCTGTACATTTGTTATAACAGCTATTATAAAAACATTTTGAAATGTTTTTATTATATATTGAAAAATCAAATATATTAAACAATATATTTGAAATTTGAATGTTATTTTTTGCAATTAGTGTATCTAAATTAAAATATACAGATGGATTGCTATCCATGTAAGAAAAATAGACTTCTGCCTTATTTGGATTTGCTAAATATACATTTTATTCTTCCGCATTAAAATAAAATGTAGTATTTTTGGGGTTATCTTAGTATTAGTCGTAATGTTTTCCTCTCTCGCATAGTAGGTATGATAAAAGATTTTCATATGTAACTAAAGATTGGAATTTAAATACTATATTGTTACTTTTATTTAACAAATTTTTTTCTCCTTTTTTGTGGCTGCGGTATGATTATTTATTTTTATTCTTTCTTTCAGTTAAAAGAAAAAGATACTAAAAGTGAAAAGAAGGAATCTTAGAAAGAATATCATAGTTGCAAATTATAATAAATTTATGTTTTAATAATATTGTTTGTAGTGTTTTGTAATGTTATAAATAAATATTTAACGTATAAATATATTAATATTTTTTATGAAAATAAACAAGTTTTTTGTTTACTATGAAAATACCATTAATTGAAGTTGTAATTATCCCTGTTGGTTAATTTGTTTTACTTTTTTTTAACCATAGTTGTGAATTAATGGGCAGTTTTTTTTTCATTAAAGTTTTTATTACCTATTGCCATTAAAAGTACACAATTGAAAATGGAAATATTTTTAACTAATTTCAAGTTTGACCTTAGAATCAAAATAACACCCTTTTTCTTACTTAATACATATAGTAGACAATTTAACAAATATGTTACTTAGCATTTTAAAAAAAGTTGCTTGCTTGATAATTTATGAAAGTTAAGAATTATGAGTCTTCAGATAGATGTTCTACTTCTAATTCAGTTAACATAGATGAGTCGTAGTTGTTTCAATTTTCCTAATGAAAAATATTTTGTCCTAATTTTAAATTTTTTTCCTGATATTCAAATAATTTTAATGCCTTTCTTTAGGAAGAAAAAAAATTTACCTTTCAATGGTCATTAACTTAATTTTCTGTCTAAATCATACATATATGCCTATGTCTAAATCATACATATATATAGTTTAAAAAAAAATTTTAAAGTTACTTATCAAAAATCATTTTTTGTTAGATTACTTTTTTGAAACAAAATTAGCATGCCTTTTATTATTTTTATAAACTACAAATTTTTCTCTTATTTTGATAAATGAGAATTAGTTTTGAAAATATGCACATAGAATGAGAGGGTAATTAAAAATAGTATGAGAGGGTAATTAAAAAATTTTTGAAGATGAAATTAAGTTATTACATAATACTACATATAGATAAATTTTTAGTTTTAAATGAAACCCTTTCAATACTCTAAGTGCCCTGTCCTTTTATATTCTTAAAGAAAACTCTCTCTCTCTATATATATATACCTTTTTTTTTTTTGTTTGTCACTTAAGTGGGCTTAACCATTACATTTTACAGAGTCTAAGCATTTGTTTAAATGTTGCTTTGCAGGAAAATAAAGCATCAGTTATAGGTAAGATTTTTTTTTAGGAGGGTGACTTTTAAATTTTTTAAACAATGCTGAGTTATTAGATTTTTGTTTTAAAATTTTATTTCTATTTTATAATTCTGCGTCCTTTTATATATTTACTTATTATATATTTTTTTTTATTCGTTAACATTAAAAATTTGATAGTAAAAAGAAATAAAATTGCTAACATTAAAACACTGTAAATTGTTAACACTGTACTTTACACATTTGCACAATTTTATACTGTTTATGGAGATTATTTTGTATTTTATTTTACAAATGCAATTATACGGCTTTGTTCTTTGCAGCAATATATCAGATATTTTCAATCTTACAATTAAGGTATCTTTATAAAAGATGCTTGTGTTTAATTCAATAAGATTTTAATATGTTACTATGTAAAGCGGAATCATACCCACATAACTTTCCATGAATTTCATATTTAAACTTTTGTGTTTTATCACCACTAGTGATAAGATTCTGAAAAAATAACTACAATATGTACAAATCAAAACTTTATTTACATATTTCAATGAAAAAAATTGAAACACTTTTTTACAATAACATTTATCAAAATAGTAATAATTGTTGTAACAATATAAAATGTCATTTAAAAAATATTTGAGCAATTCATTTCTCTCATAAAAACGTCAACATTTTTTTTTTTTTTAAATTTCTGAAAGTTCTGTGTTACAAAATTTTTTGAATGGATAAGTATTTGGTAGATGTTTTTAATTTGAAAACAATAATTTTAGCACCAAGTTCAAAATGAAAAGTATATAAAAATATTTTATGGAATGTTAAGAAAATGATGGATATATCTGAACACTTTTTAATTTAGAAATCCAAAATTCTATATATTTCATTGGAGACAATAAAGTAACAAACAAAACAAAAACATAAAAAATAGAATTTTTGAAAGACCAAATTGTACAGTATAAAACAAACTAAAAAAATGTGTAAATATATATTTTAGAATCTTACTAAAGTGATCAGTAAATTATCAGTTCCTGGTAACATTAATTTTAAAAAAAAATCAAATGTAAGTAAAACACAAGTGTTGGTTCTATGATGGTTTGGATACAATCATATTTTGAATTTGGATACAATTTTGATCCATTTTTAATCAGGATGACTTTCAAATAAGGCACTTGACTTCCTGAAGTTTAATTTTCTTTTTACACCTAAGAAAAAAAGCAGTTACAATTTTATAAAGGGAAAAAAATCTGCAAGCTATACAAATTCTACTAAACAAAACTGGTGGTTAAAGTTCTGAAAATAAAATTCAAACTTATATAATATATTTTTTAAAAGAAAAAATTTTATATATTTTGCAAAATAGAAAGTTCATAAAACTAATCACAATAAGTGCAATGTATTTTCCATTACTGCTAAGAATAAAAAAAATAAAATAAAAATGGCAATTTAAATTTTTAATACATAACCCTTATTTTGAGTTTTATTTTAACACTTAATTTGTCTAGCGAATTCTAAGAAATATTTTGAAGACTGAACATATCAATTTTACAGCTAATTTCCCATGGATACAGGAAATAATTACTTTTTTCAAATTTGAATTTGACTTTTAGAATAATTCTAAACGTTCATTTTAAATAGAATTAATAAGAGAAGTTTTATTCAGAAAATAGAATTTTTTTTTCTCTTTTTGGTATGAAAAATAAATAACATTTTGTTTGATGTTTTTGATTGGAAACTTCAGTTCTTAAAAAATCAAATTATTGAGGTTCTGTTAATAGAAATTTGACTATATTAGCACTGCTTATTTAAGTTGTTTTTTTTTCATTCTTTGTTTTTCAATGTATCACTCATATGTTAACAACCAAGTAAATTAAGTTTCAAAGAAATCAAAATTGCATGCCATAAAAATGAGTCTTAATTATCTTTTTAAAAAATATTACTCACAAAACATATTTAGGAATTTCTGATTAGTTTTCCTTCCTGACTTCTAGAAACTCTACCACTAGCAAGAAGTTCCAATGCAATCGGAAAGATAGTATGTTCTAATACTTTAACTTTTTCCTGCAAAGTTTCTTCATTATCATTTTCGTCAATATTTATAGCAGCTTGCTCGATGACTGCTCCAGCATCAACTTCAGCCTTTATAAAAAATTTAAAAAAAAAGCAAAAATGCTATAAGATCAGCAATAATACCTTTGATTACAAAATATTTTACAAAAATATCTTAAGGTTTAACTTTTACAAAAAATAACAACTAGCTTAAAAAAGCTGCTATGGATTCAGTTTTTATGTCATTTAATTAATCTTTATTTTAATAAAAGCATAAAAGATTTCATCCATTAGTCTTAAATTAAAAAACAACAAATTATAGACATTTACCAAGTACAAGTGTAATATCAAAGCAAAAAAACATTTTTGTACACATCTTTTTTAATAAAATTATATCACAGACAGTTTTGTATCAGAGTTTCACAGAATTGTATCACAATATTTTTTTGAACATGTTTTTGGACAAAATTTTTTTTTTTTTTAAAAAATTCAAAAAGGGAGAGGTTTAAATCTTTTGACATTTTAATTGGTACAAAGAAATTATAACATTTAAATATTCAAAATGCTGTGGTACTACCACTGCATTTTGAATATTTAAATGTTATAATTTCTTTGTTTTTGTAAAAAAAAGAAAAAATTATTGATATTAGATTGAAAAAAATTAAACATTTTTCTGATTTATTATGGGTTTGTATATTAACAATTTAACTGGCACATCTAAAGAATAAATCAATGAAGGAATACAGATATAATAATTTTTTCTTAATACATTTATAGATAAGTTTTTATCTATTTATTTTTTTTTAGAAATAATCGATAAAGTAAAGATATTTTATTGTGTTGCTTATTTTTCATAAACATTTATTGTTTTTACAAATACATGTGAATTACTAATAAAAAATTTGTTAGAGGCTGAAGTAAAAAATAGTGAATTTCTATAATAATTAATAACAGTTGTGAATCACAATGGGTTTCGTAATCCTTGAATGTTTGGCTAATTCAGATGAACAATAAATTTTTTATAAAGGTCATGAGAGACAAACTCTTTGCAAATTTGTTGTTAAAAAAAGGCTTTTTTTTTTCCTTCTTTAATCTATTGCTGATTAGAATTTCATTAATATTTTCTTAAGTTTTTAAATTCTATTTATTCATTCTATACTCACCTCCACAAAATGTACAGTGCATCCTGTAATTTTAACCCCTGCCTCAAGAGCTTGTCTATGAGCTCTAACTCCTTTGAAAGATGGCAAAATAGCTGGATGAACATTTAATAACTTCCCTTGCCATAACTGCACAAATTCCTCTGAAATTAATGATGCAAACATGTTGGAATTGAAGTAAATAAATTATTTTGCAAAGAAAATAACCACAGTATGCTTATATTTATACAAGTGAAAATATTTAATTTTTATTAAAATAGTAGAAATTGAACTTTAGATTGCTACTTTTTTCTTAAAACCAAATACAAAATATTTTATAGCTTATATTTTTATAAATGATATTTTAGCTTGATGTTTTAATGTTACTCAAAAATGTTTGTTTGTGATATTATAATTTGTTTTGTAAATCAAATTTAAAAAAAGAAACAAAAAAAAACATAATTAGTGATTATAAGTAATAAGATTATCTAGATATGAAAGATGCCAATAAAATGTGATAGTTTAAAAATTATCAAAGTGAAATTTTGCCCAAAAAAGAAAAAAAAACTCTTTTTGAAATTTAAACCAAATTTCATAAAGCACCAGAAATTAACTAGGTTGCAATATAATAAACACTTAGATATAAATTTAAACAAAAAAAAGTCGTTTTAATGTAAAAATTTACTGATTTTTTTTAACAGTTTATTACTCAGAATTAAAATGTCTACTAAGCATCTAAAATAAGTTTATCAAACTTTTTTTCTTTGATCAAGTGTCATATTATGATAATTTTATCGATTCCACTATAACTTAGAAGTTACTTAATTGCCTTTGAAGACAAGACAGCAATGAGTTTAGGTTTTAGATCAATTTACAATAACTTATGATTATTCCTCAGTGTAAGGAAAATTTAATAAGTCAAAAATTAAAAGACTAAGAAAAATAAATTATATTCAATATTAACATAATATTTTTATTTTTAAAAAATAACATTTTTAAGTTTTACACACAGCATTCTTTGTAAGAAAAACGTGTAAAATTTCTTTTTCTCTCTGCATATAAATTTTCTAGACATAGAATATTTTGTATAGATCCTTAAAGTATTTGAACAATTTTAGTTAATGAAATTTTTTAAAAAAAAATCAAAATGTTAAAATTTTACTAAGTATGGAAATGCTGTTATACATTATATTTCAGCTTCTCCAAACTTAGAAATTGTAATTTTTAAAAATTAATTAAAAGTTTTTTTTAAATTATCAAAAACCAGTTATAAAATTTCTTCTGTTTGTTATATAATTTTTTCTATTCATTTTTTGGATGAGGTTGCACTTTGACCATTTGTGCATTTTAAAAAATCTTATTCATTTCAACTAAACCAATACCATTTCCATATTATTATAAAATATTTAAATAAAATTTATTACTCGTAATAATTCATGTTAAAGAAGAGGAAATTAATAAACATTATTTTTTTAAATCTTTAATATTAATCATTTTGAATGTATTACTTGAAAGTATTCTCATAAACCCAGCTAGACACACTATTTCTACTCCAGCTTCTTTTAAAAGAGAATGCACGGCCATATCAAATTCAACTCTGGTCTTGAATCCTTTATGACTAAGAACCTACGTCAAGGAAGACCCATTAAATAATACAGCAACAGTTCGTGAAATTTTTAGATAGAAATCATACACATGCAAAATAAGATCACAATAGAATTTTATATTTTAGTTTGCAAAATATATTCTAGTTTCTTTTTTAGAAATTCTTTGATTTTTATCAATTATTAAAAAAACTTAAATATAAAATTTTCAAAAAACATTTTCACGAGATTAAAATCAAAATCAATCCATTTATGTTATTGTTCAAGCCATTAAATAATAAAATACACAAAAATTCTGATTTCTTATTTATTAAGTTTCAAAATAAAAATCTTTTACCGAATAAATAATATGAAAACTGAAAATTGTCTTCTTTTTTTTTATTCTTCGACCCCTATTTCTAAATTTATGGCTTTAAATTTTTTTTAAAAAACAAAATAAAAATATGATTTCAAAACAAGTGATTATAAAGCAATCAAATTTCATTTAAAAATGTAACTAATATTACAATGGATTAAATTAACCTTAACCATAAAAAAAAAATATTAAATGGCAAAATAAATAAATGGATAAATTTAAGTTAAACAAAGGTTCAAAAAATATTAAAGCATCAAACAGTGTTATTTAAATCAGTTAATTTATAATACTGCTATTGGAAATAACATAAAACAAAGCAAAATTAAATTTAATTAATTAAAAACACATAAGTGGAAGTTATAAAAAACTATATAAAGTTTAACAAAAATATATAAAATGAAACAAAATTTTTAAAAAAATATTCAGAATCACAGATGCTAAATAAATTACTAGTGGAAAATGGAAGAAAAATATTACTTATTAGAATGAAATATATCAAAACTTTTTATTTAGTAATAAAAAATACTGACTAAAACATTAGACCACAAATTTAAAAATGATAATGAAAAATTGCTGGTTTAGTTAACACAGTTTATCCAAAAATAAAGATATAGATCAAAAGCTGGTCAAATATTAATTTTATTATATATTCAATTTCAGTAATAAATAATAAATGCTAATACCTTTGTTGGAATGAGAGCATTATGAGCTCTTTTTAAACCTGCAACATCGGGAACATTTGAAACAACCAAAACAATTTCAGCTTGACTGCAGTTGTAGGGATTTTGGGTATGATTAATAAGGGCTTGAAGATTTGTTCCTAGGCATAAAATAAAAAATATAGCTACAGTTGAGAAAAAAAAATTTCTAAAAACGTATTTTAAAAGATTTTTCATTAATTTAGTTTACATTCATTTAATTTAATTAAGAGAATCATGTTAAAAGGAAATTCATATTTTTTATCCAAATATTAAATTAATTTTGTAATAATATCAGTTATTTATACAAAAAATAAGTAATTACATAAGTGCTACAGGTACAAATACAAAACAACAATATTTAAAGCAATTTAATTAATATTGAATATGATAATTATTATCATATATGTACTAACATATAAATCTCATTAATCATATAATAGATAAATAAAATAATAAGATGTATAGCAATAGCAGAGAATTATAAATAAGCGTAAGTGGCATGAAATGGTTTTCTATGTGGCAAAAAAGCTTCTTATAAACGAACAATTCTTATTAATGAAAATGAAATAAAACTTTTTTGTGATACACAAAAGTAAGAAATTTTTATTACAATGAATGTAAAATATCAAATGGAATGATTCTGAGACAAAAATTTTGAGAAATTTTTAATATTCTAGCATTTGCAAACTTCAGCATTCTTGTTAAAAAAAAAAAACAAATTCCATTCACCAAAAAATAAATAAAAATATAAACTATGACACAAAACAATTTTTTAAGCTATAAATAATAATAAGGTTTTAATATAAAACAATTATAACCAATAAGAAAATTAGACAAATAAACTTAAATAAATTTTCTTGTTATTCTTCTTTGCCTATCTGTCAAATTCAGTATATACTGCGAGTAAATAAAGAAAATATAGTAAAACCTGGTCTAATAATAGTAATTAATTTATTATTAGAATGAAAAGTGTAGGAAATTATTTCACAAAAATCCTTCAGTCATAAGAAATATGGAATAAGCAGTATGTGTTATTTTTTTTTAAATCTATTATTTTTTTACATGTACTGTTAACTCACATTAAAATTAAAATAAATTAATTTTTTTTCCTAATAAGTTTTTTTTTTACTGTATGATGAAAATTATTTTAAAAAAATACCTGAGCCTGATATTAGAACTCCAACTTTTTTCTTCTTTCCTCCTTTTTCTTCTACACTAAGATTAGAAGACAATTTAAAGTTCTTCACTTCTACTTTTTCTTCTCCTGAAAATGAAAAAAATATTTTATCACAGTTTTCAATTTGCATTGTGCATAAATTTATAAGATTTTACACATTTCGCATCAGCATTTCATATCACAAAAATGTATATAAACATATGGATTAAATAATTTTATACGCAGATAGCATCTAAAAGTTAATTATTTGGGTTGTTCACTGAAGTCCACCAAAAAAGTTCATGAAATCAAAAAGAAAGTAATTTCGTTTTTTACCAACAGAAGACTTGATTATATTTTTTCACACTTAAGCCACATATAATCATATACACATAATCAGTTAACACACATACACATAATCATTTACATAATCATAATCATTCATCACATAATCATAATCATTTGTCAGCTGGCATAGCAAGTCTTGCTTGTGAAAAAGTTTGAGTGATTTCATGCAATAGTTTTTGGTTGGTGCCCTTTCAAATATGGAAAGTAAAAAACAGCTTTTTTGGCATATTTCGCTTTTAAGGTTAAAATGGTATTCAAACAAGAAAAAAATTAGTCAATGTGTATGGAAGATGTATTTACAGTACGCAGTGCTAAAACAGGTTTGCAAAATTTCAATCTGGCAATTAAAATGTACCACGTCAAATGAAGCTGATGAGAAACAATAAAAGCAAGCATTTATTGATACAAACCAACAAAAAATAACTGGGAAGTTGTTGAGAGATAAAATTTTTCAAATTCGTCTGTCCATGATCATTTGAAAAACCTCAGATTTAATCTCAAAGCTCAATATATGGGTTTCTACCGTGAAAAAAAAAATCTCTCCTAAAGAAAAAATTTGTGCTGTTTTGAGTAACTGTGCTATCTGTAATTTGCTTCTCAAACATCAAAAAAATTAACCATTTTTGAAGTGTATCATCACTAGAGAAAAAAAATGAGCTGCCTTAAACAAAATAGGCTGTCTATGTTCCGATTTCTACATAATTTTTTAGACAGTAAAATCTTTAAGGAGGAGGCCAAAAATGCATGGATCAGTTAGTTTTTCTTCTTTTTTTTTTGCCATCAAAGAATAAAATTTAATGAGTGTGGAATCATGCTACTGCCAAAAAGATGGCAAAAGGTATTAAACCAGAATGGACAATGTATGATTCAATAAAATCTTTTTTCATGAGAAAATCGTCTTTATTTTAATTTTTTAAAAAATGAACAAATTACTTCCCAAACATCCCAATAAAAAGATGAATTATTCTCCTCAGAAGGTTCCCAAATTTTAACACATCAAACATGAAGAAGTAATAAAATAAATGATAATAACAATAAATATTATACATATAAACATGAAATCTGTATAAAAGATACAGAGCAATAATTCCTCTCTCGTGAAAAGCACTAATAGTGAAAAAAATATTTATTTCAAGACATATTGCGACTTTTTTGATGAAAGCAAAAATTTAGTTTTCTTTTTGTATAAAGGAAGGCAAGGTCAAAAGGCTTTTTTCTACCATTCTTACCCTTATCCTTTTTTGTGATGTGATTACAATGATTTCACTAACCACCATGCTTATCTCTTTATTTTATCACCTCATCGCTTATAGCAATTTCAATAAACTTAACGTGAAGTTTTAACAAAACAGATTACAAGGATAAAAGTAAAACGAACGAAAATATTGAGGGGCGGATACAGAAATTTTTCCTGGGGGGGGGGTCATAGACTCAGATCCCCCCCCCACACACACACAATGAATTTATTCGTAAAAAATGTTTTTTAAATATTTTTTTTAAAAAAAACTGGGGTTTTTAATGCTAGTATTCTCATATATATTTTTTTCATAATGAACAATACATAAATAATTCAAGTATTCAACATCTTTAAATGATAAATGTAATGCGTTTTTACATAATTAGATGGAAAAAATATCNAACTTAACGTGAAGTTTTAACAAAACAGATTACAAGGATAAAAGTAAAACGAACGAAAATATTGAGGGGCGGATCCAGAAATTTTTCCTGGGGGGGGGGGGTCATAGACTGAGATCCCCCCCATAATTAATTTTTTTATAAAAAAAAAATTTTTTTTAATATTTTTTTAAAAAAAAAAAACTGGGGTTTTTAATACTGGTATTCTCATTTATTTTTTTCATAATGAACAATAGAACAATACATAAATAATTCAACATCTTTAAATTATAAATGTAATGCGTTTTTACATAATTAGATGGAAAAAATATCGATTTTTCCGACCTACCTAGGTGTATATGCCCCCTTGAATAATTTGTAAAATATTTTATTTCTTTTGTAAACTATTAAAAAAATGATTATTTTTACTTTTTTTTTCAATCCCCCCCCGCTGGTTTTGCACTGAAAATATTAAAGGTTTTTATAGTAACTCACCTTCTTTTAATTGCTTCACACAACCGATTGTAAAAGCCTTTTCTCCACTGTTTCTTAAAGCTTTCAGAACTTCATTTTCATATTTCTTTTCCAAAATCAATGCCATGCCAATACCACAGTTAAATGTTTTTAACATTTCTTTTTCTGACATTTGACCTTCCTTTGCAATCCACTGGAGTACAGGGGGCATTTCCCATTTATCCCCTTCTAAAGCAACTTTCAATGATTTGGGTAAAACTCTGGGGATATTTTCAGTTAAACCACCTCCAGTGATGTGTGCGGCAGCTTTCAGCAAGTTTTGTCTCATGAGTGGCAACAAAGATTTAACGTAGATTTTTGTGGGTGTTAATAAGGCTTCCCCAATGGTTGTTGATTTATCTAATGGAAATGGGTCTCTGTAACTGTAATTTTTCAGTTCCACTATTTTTCGAACCAAACTGTAACCGTTACTGTGAACACCAGATGATGCAACTCCAATGACAATGTCTCCTTCTTGGATATCATTTGATCTTGGTAAAAGATTTTCTTTTTGAAGAGCTCCCTCAGCGTAACCAACCACATCATAATTTTCACTATTTTGAATGCATTGGTTAGCATTAAAATATATATCTGGCAATTCATTGATTTCACTCTCTGAAAAAAAGTTTTTATCTTAAACACTTTAGAATTGCAACATTGAATTATTAAAACAATATTATTAGGCAATAACTAAATAGCAGAAGAAGAATATAATCTGATTAATAATTTTGAACTTTAGAAATACGTTAATATTAAAAATAATGAAAACGTTTACTATTTATGCTAATATTTCTTTAATGGTTCAAACTTCTGAATTCTTGCAATCATTTAAGATTGATATTGTATTTTTTGGACAAATAGTAATAAGATCAAATTCTAGTTAAAGCTAATTGTAAAATTTAGAAAATGTAAATTTTAGTAAACCTCTAAATGTTGTGTTTACGATATAAAATTTATTTTTGAAGAGATCCTACATTGCGTCTAGTTTTTAAGTTTTAAAATTATCAATATCTGAGCTAGTAGTCTCAAAAAACAAACAAAAATCTAGTACTATTAATCTAATAAGTAAGTCTGAAATTTATTTAGCTGCAATACAAAATGATTTTAAATTACCATTATAAAACGAAATTAGCACATTATTTTAGATTTATAACAGCTATAATTTTTCTCACAAATAAAAGTAATGGTAATAGCTGGTAGCTTTTTGAAAATTCACAGCATAAATATCATACATCAAAGAAGCACAGTATGAAAAAGGACTAAGTTTCAATAGTCTACAATTTAAAACACTAATATTTTTAAAGCACTTAAAATAATTGAGCACATTTTTAATAAATATTTTAATTTTTATTTCAATGAAAAAAATTAGTAAAATAATAAACTTCTATGTTAAATTATATTGCAACTCTTAATGATTATGATTATCTTAAAATCATAGTCTTTTCCAAAATACAATCACAGATGAAAGGTCGTGCTAACAAGCATTTCACAATTCTTAAAATTTTGCATGGGTTACAATGACATATCCAATTTTAATTATGAAAGACTGGTACCAGAGGAATGCAAGTTAAACATACTGAACTGTAAAGTAGATTTCTGATTCTTAAATGAAAAAGGAAAATGAAAACATTGTTCAAGCGATGAAATTCTCTTTAATGACAATTTTAATAGTATTTTATAGCATCTCTCAGGTCCCACAATTCAAGAGTTAACTCACCAAAATATGAATGCAGAATAATCTTAATTAAAAAAAAATCGAAAAAAATATATAAGTTTCAAATTATTAAATAGTAGCAGTCGCCTTAGCAATGCATGCAATAAAGACGTATGCACACTGTTGGTTCTTGAACACATACCTACTAGGGCACAATTAGCTTGTTTGCAGCCTTCTGCAATTCCAGATATAACGCTTAATGCCAAATCAGGATTAAGGACTCCACAATCAAATGACTGCATGAAGAAAAGAGGTTCTGCACCATGTGTTAATATATCATTTACACACATTGCAACAAGATCAATGCCTATTGTATCATGCTTATCACATGCTTGGGCAATCTGTAAAAACAAATTTCAAAAAAAGAAATTAGTAAGCATGTGACATTTATTTTATGCATGTACAAGGTACTACAAAATTACAACCCTTAATATGTAATTTTCGGCTTTCTTGTCAAAAATGATGTTAAAAGTATTAATCATTAGGAGTTTTGAACTAATATTTATATTAAAAACAAAGATACTATCAAAAACTGTTGAATCAACAGCGAGGTGGATGAGATGAAACCATCGCAACATGTTTGATTGTGTCATGAAACTTGAAGATGTTTCTATTTCCTAATAAGGACATTTAGCACAACTCTGCTCTCTCTAGCAATCCCAAGACATTTTAACATTTTCGTTTTTGATTTGAAAGATTTCGGAGATCGTAAACATCATGATATTTTTAAAAAATAAATAAATTAATGCAAACTTGGATATCTATCTGATATCTTTATATAAATCAAATTTTTGATAGATTAGATAATTTGATAGTTAATAAATATTTTCAGTCATAACTTAAACATCAGATCACAAAATTTATTTTATGCATGTTTGTAATATAATTTAAATTCCCATTTGCCATTTATTTACATTCCCATATAACAAAATATCAATAAATAAAATTGAGATTCTCTTGAAATCACAAAAACACAAATTATTAGCTTAATATCAAATATTATTGCAGAATATAATATAACAAACATTTTGCTGTTGTTTTTATTATCAAAATAACAGCATTCATATTTAACAAGAAGCTTTAAAAATAGCCCATTAAATTAGCCTACTTGCTTAATCCAATTTCAAGTTTTGCAAAAGCTTTAATTAAAAAATAATTTAAGTAAATTGTTTATAGATTATCTTCATTGAGAAATAAAAATATACTGATCAACGTTGATTGTTTAGATTTACAAAATTATGCTTCATTCAATTTTTCTGGTATATCATTTAATTTGTTAAATGTTTTGTCAAGGCTTTATAGTAACTCTACAGGTACATGTCTGTAAAGTTCTTAATTTTTTGAAGTTCGAAATCTGTGTTTTTAGCAATAATTATGTATGAAAAGACCTCAGTAAGCATAAAGAAATCATGTAGCATAGAAAAGGATACTAACACTTAAAGGAATACCAAAAATGAATGCAAAGCGTAAGGAAAATTTCACACGGAGTAAAAAATCAAACAAATTTCTTGCATCTGCTAAATGTCTGACATTTTTTTTCTTTTAAATTTAGCTAAGTTTAAATCTATGATTAATGATTTTTATTTTATTGGTCAGAAAATTTCTTTGGATACTTTTTAAAATTTCTAATTATTGAGGGAGACAATAATTAGAACTACTATAAAATAGAAATTTCCATGCCATACTTTTAATAACAAAGGTTTCATCGATAAACATTCTTATAACAAAACTAAAATAAATATATGTATATTTACTTTTAATTTAGTACCAACACCATCTGTTCCTGAGACTAAGTAAGGAGATTGGTAACCTGAAGCTTTCAAATCAAATAGGCCACTGTCAGAACTTCTATCGAATCCTGGTCGACATGTGCTTTTCATTATACTTTCCACAGAATCATGAAATTTCTTATTTGATTTTTCTAGACCAGTTGCATATATTTTTGAAATAACCTCTTCATTCCTGCAAAGTTCCATTTATTTATTAGTGGTCAAGAGTCTATAATCTTTTTGTAATTATTTGAAATTTCTGAAATACGTGATACATTTATTTCTTTTAAACAAGTTATTTATGATGAGTTCACACGGTGGTTATCTTAGAAAAACAAACAAGAATATAACACATCTATTAGCAAGGAAATGTTTAAGAAAAAATTTGTTAAAAATAATAAACCAGCACCTTTTTTTTTAATATTTATTGAACACTATATTCAACAATTTTTATCACTAGTTTATAAGAAATACACTAGAATAATATAAATAATTTTAAAGTGATTTGTTATGAGTTGAATCCTATTATTTTGTTTAAATGATTTAATTGAAGTATTACTATATATAACATATAAGAAATGTATATATATGTGTGTATGTAACAAATAATTATTAGGTTTATTTGTTATTTCTGCTCACTTATTCATAAATTTGTTGTTTATAAATGTATGAATTTGATAAAATTCATAAAATATAACACAAGGGAAAGACTAATTGAATACCATAACATAAGACAGTTAAAAAAATTATGCTATATTTACAAACTAATAAAAAATAAAAAGATTTCAGAAATTTTTTTTTCAGGAATTTTTTTAATCTTTTTATGTATTATTTAAAAAGTGGAAAAGTTTAAGAACACTCATATCTGTACTTATTCTCCTGACTTTGTACTCATTTTTATAATTATGTATTAATTAATCACGTGATAAAAATGTTTATCAGATAAAAAAAAACTAAAAAAAATTTTTAAAAAAAAACTGCAATTCCTACTGAAATTTTAAAAGTTTAAAAATTAAACAAATTAGAACTGATATTAAATTTCTTGAGAATTAATATTATTTTTAATTAACAATTCTAACTACTTAAAATGAAACAATATTTTTACACATTTGAACCAGAAGTATGACGAACTAACTTTTTATTGGACAGAAACACATCAACAACTTTTGGATAGATCAACTGTTGCACCCGTCTGATATTTTTACACAATGATTCTTGAGTTGCATAAGGTTCGATTTTCAGAGCACATTGCTTCAATATTTTTCCAAACTTTCCATTTTCCTATTAAAAAATTTGTAAAAACATATAAAATATATTCAAAAAGTTACATATTAAACAAACTAATAATATATTCAGCAATATTTAAAAACAAAATTAGATGACTTAATAATGAAACACAGTTAATCAAAGTCATTTACAAAAGGGAGAATAGGATAAGAACTAACAATTAAAATGTTTGATCTGGAAGATTTTTAGTGAGAAACAGTAAAATCATCTTATACACAGAGCAGCTATTTCATTACGACTACCCCTTAATTATTTCGTTTTGCAGATTCAATTCTTCTTGAGAATGAACTCTATGAGATATTGCTAGAACTTTTGCAGTATGTGTAGAATTTTGCAGTATGTATAAGTGTGATATTTGTGTGTAGTGCCAGTACCGTCTTTACGCATGGCCACACCTGGGCAGTGCCCGGGGGCCGCAGGCACTCAAGGGGCCCTTGAGAATCTTACTTTTCATAAATTACGTTTAAAAAAGCTAAGAATAAACAACATTGCCTTATATATCTTTTGAAATAAATATATTCTATTTTATAAAGTGTGCATTTTTTTCTACAAATAGTGATTGATTATTATGCAAATATCAATAATTTCAATAGTTTGTCAACAGGAAAACTTAAAAAAGGCAACCGAAATCTATTTTTCTACGTTCCAATGAAAATTTTAGGTCCTTGGGCATTGAAAAATGTTTTAATAACTGTTTAGTTTGACAAAATAATTCATACCTTTCTTTTTAACCTTTCATACCTTTTTTTAACCTTTGAGTTTATTTAAATTTCTTATACCCTTATGTTTATTTAATTTAATTTAATTATTTTAAATAACTTCCATGATTTTGGAAATTATTTTATTATTTGAGGATTGCAACTAGTTAGCATATAAATTTTTTTTCAAATTATACATAGTTTAAAAATGCTTTTTTTTAGTTTTTGGGGTAATCAAAATGGGTCTAAATTTGTTAAAATTATTGCATCATATCTTAAAAATGATTTATTTCATATATGTGAAGCTTTTTATAGTTCGTTTTTAAACACTATGATATGTTATAGGGGTCTAAAATATTTTTGTGCCCGGGGGCCCTGCATGCTATTAAGACGGCCGTGTGTAGTGTGTGTTTTGTAGTAGGTAAGCACCTTCTAATAATATGGGACAAGACTTCACAAAATCCTTCCAACTTCATCTCGCAAATGATTAATAGGGTTGAAATCTAGTATGCAACAAAGTAAAGTCTCAAACCGATTCTTAGCGATGGCAGGATACATTATCCCATTGAAAGCAACATTCTACATTGGGATGAATCAACAGCATTGTAAGTTTTTCTTAATCAACAACAATGTTTTAGTATGATATAATGCTTTAATTAAGATAATTTTGTACACTAAATAAAAGCCCTAATTCGAAAGGCTATTTCAACCAGGAAAATATTTTTTTTTAACCACACTAGCTTTCTTGTAGCAATGTTATGGTGCAATAGTGCATTTGCATAAAATTGTCTTGAGGTTAGCATAAAGTAGTTGACCAGTGTAGAAGGTTAATTTTCATAAAGTGGATACCAGAATTTTCCTAATTCAATTTTGTAGTTACAAATCAGATAGTTGAATTAAAAAAGCCTATATAAAATAGCCTACATAAAGTAAAAAAGCCTATATATAGCAATGTTGTGGTGCAATAGTGCATTTGCATAAAATTGTCTTGAGGTTAGCATAAAGTAGTTGTCCAATGTACAAGGTTAATTTTCATGAAGTGAATACCAGAATTTCCCTAATTTAATTTTGTGGTAATAAATCAGATAGTGAAATTAAAAATAAAAAAAAGCCCATATAAAGTGCCTAACATAAAACTCAATGTTTATACAGTACAGAACCCGTTATCCGGAAATCAGAAAACCGGAAAACCAAAAAACCGGAATGAAATTCGATAAATTTTCCCGCCATTTTAAAGAGAAAAAAAAATTTTTTTCCTCATAAGATTTTAGGATTTTTCTTTCTTTTTTGAAAGATGTTTGCCTTACCATCATTTCAGAAATAATCATTAGTGTATTACCTCATCGTTTTTTCTTATTTTTAAGATTATTTCCAAAAAAAAATTTTTTTTAGTACGGTTTAACACTAAAAAAACGGCTTTTTGTAGCGATTCAGAAAACCGGAAAAATCAGTTATCCGGAATAGCGATAGTCCCAATCGTTCCGGATAATCGGTTCTCTACTGTATTATAAGGTTTGACAATTAAAATTGTACAGTAAAAATCGATTTAATAATTAATAAAGGCTTACCTGAACCAAATAAACAGTACAACCAGTGATTCTTGCATCAAAAAGTAAAGCTTCCTTGACTGGATCTGAGCAATCAAATGATGGTAACATAGAAGAATGAATATTTAAAATTTTTCCTTTCCAAACATTTAAAAAGGAACCTATAATATTTAAAAAGTGTCCATTGATGCATGCATATCAAAAAACAGATCAATAAAACCATCTTAATATACCAACACAAAAATATTAAATCAAAGAATTTATCAAAATATGTAATTAAATTCTGATACATAAAACTAGATATTATGTTTTATTTTCGGAAATTACCTATTTCAAAACAGTTTTTAAATCTGGTTTTTGATCTGGTTCGTTAAATCTGATTTTAAATCTTTAAATATCAACCCTTCGCCCACAACATTTTGAAACTGATCATTCTGGTCTACTTATACTAGCAGTAAGCAAAAAAAATAAAAAAATTTAGATGAAACATGAAATTTGGATATTGTGTTGTAAATAATACTCCTTAAGAGACTTCAAGTAGCTGACCATAAAATTTACACAGAAAAATTATTTTACGTCTAGGCTGGTATCACTTAGTTTATTCAAAATTGCTTTTACTGAAAAAAAACTTAAGCCATTATTATACAGTGTTGCACAAATATTGAATCCACACAAAAGAAATTTTGGTCATGGCTTTCAGAAATATGCTTCAAATTTATAATTAGTTATACTAGAACATGCTTTTGTAGCAAATTTAATTTCGCAATAGTACTATTGTAAATTGCACAACTATATTCTATAATAATTGCATAACTATATACTATATATACTATAATAAACTGCATAATAATTTATTATTCAGAGGAAGTTTGCTAAAAAATTCTATATATCTAATTGTACAAAGGTTTGAAAAAGCTCAAAAAAAGAAATATTTTTAAATTTTTATTTCTTTAAATAAAAATTATATTCTGTCATTTAAAAATACATTGTTTTAAAAGAGATAAAAAATAGTTTGTATCTTAACAATTCAAAATTTTACCAGCTCTATTTAATAAAATAAAATTTAAATGATTCTCAAATATTATTTTTAATGGAATTATTATTGCATGTGTGCAAAAAGTTGTTGCTTAGTAAAAAAGTTTTTGGGATATGTTCCCACTATCTCCATATAGTCAAGAATATAAAAAATCTGTAGGAAAAAAAGCATGTTTCAGAAAAAGTATGTTTTTTTTTGTTTGATTTTACAATTTATTCAATAGTTAGCAATTTTTTATTATCATATTTGAGGTCAATCCTTTGAAAAAGTAATATTGACACTTAATAAGTGAAAATCGACAAATTAGAGAAAAAGATATAGAGAATTTCTTTCTTTTTTTTCCTAAGCGTGCTAAGTATGAAAAAGATGTATAAATTTCTGTGAAAATATTAATTTTTGAAGTTTATTAACAAAACTCTGGCTGTAAATAAAATAATTGTTTACTAACTTCCAATAATGAGTTTGAGATTTTAAACCCAACTTACAAGGATCTGGGTCATTTTTATAAGAATATTATAAAATTAAAGGAACTAGTTATCTTGCAAGACTTTTAGCATATAAAATATTTAATTTTTCCATAAAATTTCCAAGAGAAATAAAAAAATAAACTTTGGCAATAAAGGACACTCTATAAGCAGATAAGCATACTTATCTCAAAAGCTTATTTTTAATGTTCTTTTTTTTTTGCAAGTAGAAATTTAGCAAATCGACAAATATTTATGAGTCAAAATGAAATGTTTTAGGAACAAACTTACTTGAAAACTCCTTTTTAAATGCATCCAAACATATCAAGTCAATATTATACGATTTCACTGCCTCATAGATTGTTGAATCTAGATCATATCCTGTATTGTTTAGAACCTAAAATTATATGTTTTATACATTTATAAATTTAAGGATAATGTTAAATCCCAAAAAATATAATGTAATAAAAAGGGGCAAAAAAGGAGAGAAAGAAGAAAAAACGCTTCAGGAAAATTTAGTACAATACTGTAAAGAGAATCAATTTAAGAGACATTTATTAACATATGATCAGAATTAAATTATGAAAATAACTCATAAAAATATTTTCTCACATCATATAATTATTCAAAATAGAGGTACTTTAAGCAAGCCAAGATTTAAAAAAGGTCCTTACCATTTAAACTAAACAAAATTATAAAAAACCAAACTCCTGACAAACAGTGGTGTTTTATTCAAAGAAAAAATTTTAGAAATTTATTTCACTCTTTTATAGATTTTTGAGAAGTGAATTTCAAAATAAAGTTGTGAATTTGTAAAGAGATTACATTTGTTTTTCTTTTAACATCTAGAGGCTTGAATATTTAACAAAAAATAAATTACAATAAAAATAAATAATTTCCAATTTTTACCTATTTATGTGTTAATTACAGTAATCTTTTTTAAATTTAATAATAAAATATATAGAATTCAATTTTATAGTTCTTCTTTTCTACAATTTATGACTCATTTTTAATCACAACTGGCAATAATAAAGTACTCTTCGCAAAATAATCTGGAAAGATTTTCCGTTTGTTCAAAATCTGATCTTTTAGCTTTTACTTTATTTTTCATTGCAAAATCTTTAAAAAATAGCCTCAAGTATTGGAATTGCTAGTACAGCAATAGCAATCAATTACCTGAATTCACAATACATGAAAATCATCATTACTCTCTATACACTCAATGAGTGATTTTCTAAAGAGTCTTTATTCAACAGAGGAGGAAAAAACAGTTTCAACAAAAATTTTATGCATATTTTCACTCTTGTTAAAATTTTTGAGTAAAACTCAAATTCAATGCGGAAAATATGTGCCTATATGCATATTGGCACTCAGCTGACAACCGAAGATTCTAATTAACCCCTGCCTTCTCACTCCCGTGAAAACGACAGGGTGAGGTTTCGCCCTCTATTTCTCGCTCCCGTAATATTTACGGACTGGAGTGTTTAGTAGTAACGTGCTAATAAGAATAAAACTAATTCATTTCTTTTGCCCAGAACACATTTCATTTCTCATTTTACACACCAGATATATTTAAGGTAATTGTAAATAGTTAGTTTATTTTAAACTAGATGTCAGCACTACACACGTTTTTATATAATTTTCAGGGATAAAAAAATAGGCACTTTCATGACCGTTTTCTTGAAAATTAACTGATCGTTAAAGGGGTTAAATTATGAAAATAATAAATATAAAAAACTTTCTCAATATTCATTAACATCAGGTAAAATCATGAAATGAGACACATGAGGTAGCTTTTACCAGCCAAAGTTCAAAAAAGGAAGCCACCAATCGAACAAAATCCGAAACACTGCATTCGAATCTGGAAGCCAATAACAATGAATTTGAAACCTTTACCTTAGTAGGAATATTCAACTCTCTAGCCTTTGTAATATTTTCACATTCTTCAAGAGAGAGTACTAAAGATACCTCATAACTCATGGTAGTAGGGCTTTTTGCATAGTTTATTAAAGCCTGCATATTTGTCCCTAGACAAAGAAAGAATTATTTCATTATACATTTATTATATGAGCAAAAAGATTTAGAAGTTTAATAACTATATTTGTAACATAAGGATAAACATTTTTCTTATGTAAAATAAAATATCTCATCAGTAATTTTTAAAAAAAAAAGCTATCTGAAATTTATTATATAGTAATTTATTCATAGCTTAAATTTTAAAACATTTAAAGTGTAGCCCCATAACGTACTTATACAATAAATCTGTCTTTTCAGGATTCTAACATTTTATGTTAAGTTAGAATATTAAGACAAACTATATTCAACTAGTTATAAAAATATTTCAGAAAATTTTAAAAAAACGAGAAAAACAAAATCAAAATCTAAACAATATTATGGGATTTTTTTTTCATGTTTGTTCAATTCCTTATAAGATCAACATCTAAAAATCTGAAATTCATAGTTGCACAAGTGAAATTTAAATAATAAAACTGCAATTTAATAGAAAAATTCAAGTTAATACTTATAATTAAAAAAGAAAAAAAAATAGGGGATGTAGCTTACCTTCTTTTGATGTGAATATTGCCACCTTCTTCTTAGTAACTATAGATTGTTGCTTTAATGGGAAATTCTTCAACTGAATTTTACAATCTTCTACAAAATGCAAACTATTAGAACTCCATATAGCTAAAATTAGCAAACTTTAGAAAAAATATATATATAAATTCTATGTTCAATCTTTGAGCTAGTTTAGATTACAATCAAAAATATATTTACATAACACTTTTTACAAACATTATATAGATTTTAAAAATCTTTTCATTGTTTTTCAAACAGAAATTTTTCCAGTTAGATGATAAAAATATATCTACAACAAAATATTAGTTCATGAAATTCAATTAGTAAATAAATGGAAAAGAAATCATTTTTAAATTTTGTATTTAATTGAAAAATGTATAATGACTAAGCTACACAATACAAAACATCCTTCCCAGTGATTTTTTTTCAAAGCTCCTATAAGGATTCCTTACCTTCAAACTATGCCTCGAAGAAGAGATTCTGGCAATCTCCAGAGATACCTTTTTTTAAGCATTTTAACATTTAACATATCATTTACTTATTTGGATGCAAACCCATACCCATTCTATCATTACCGTGGCTTTTAAAGACAGATGCAATAATTTTCCCCAAGTTATTTATGCATTAGTCACTGACTGGGAGGTAAACTGATGTTTTTTACTACCTCGAATTCCCTGTGGTAGAATTTTCTCAAGCAATCTACGACAAAACTCTCTAGCACTAATATCTTTCTGCAAGATACTTTTAATTATTACAAACGTATATGTTACTAATTTAAAATAACAAAAGCGATGTGTTTACAAAAAAAAACTATATATAATATTTTTTAATTAAACATGCAATAATTCTTTTATTCGAATATCATAGGGTGGTATTCTTGCATTTTGTGGAGGGCACTAATTATTTCCTTTGCATTTTGTAAATAATAATCAGAATGAAGAAAATAATTAAAAATCATGAAATCCATAGTAGTAATTGCCGGAGGGAAAAAAGATGACGACAAACTCACGCAAATCGGACTCCTCCAAAAAAGGGTTACTCAAATCCGCGTTTCGTTTCAAGATTAGGTTTTTGTAAAAAATAATATCGTATAAAAATGTCAGATTTAGAAACTATGGAGTCTTTCTGCAAATCTGGAAAAATCTTTCTGCAACAATGTCGCCGTGTCGCTGCGATTCTGCCACAGGGCTCAAATTTTTGTGAAACTCAAATAATGGAGGCACAAATTATTGAAACTCTACTTTATATACAAAATTTTACAAGAACAAAAAATCATGTGGGAAATTGCTGTGATAAAGCAATAAATCAGTAGCAAATAAAAAAATCTAATCTTATTAATCGAGAAATTTATATTTTCTAGACTTGTTTTGATGGATGCATTCGTTTTACAGAGTACTAGAAAAATTAGGTACGAAATGCAGTTCATTACTTCACCAAATCACAAATAAACCTAAACAATGATAAACCATTTATACTTTTATCAATATAGTAACTAAACTGTATTCAACAAACACTAATGGTAAAAATATTGGCAAAATACTAGTAAAATATTATCTCTAAGTCTGTACAAAAAAAAATATATAAATATAACCTAAATGCATACTACTGATTTAAAGAGAGAGAGAAAAAAAACAACCTTTTATTAAAACAATTCAAATGCAAAAAATGAAATGCTTCAACTCACCACAAGAATAATTATAAATTTTGTTAAAAATTCTAAGTGAAAATGCTTACCTACAGATTTTTTAGTGATATTTCCAACAAATGATACTTTTCCACTATAAAAATGTTGCAAATATTGATACACATCATTGCCCAACTTTTTATCAACAATCAAGAGGAAATCTATTCCAAAGTTGAAATCTTTCAGCTCTTCCTCCGAAATATTTATATTTTTGGTAAGCCAATTATAAAGTGACGGGATGGTAATATTCTTCATATCAAGAACGCAACTGTAATCTTCTGGTAAGACTTTACTAACACTTTCAGCTAAGCCCTCTTTAAGCAAATAAGCCATTCCTTTGACAGAACCTTTTCTTAATAAAGGAAGTAAGTTCTGAATATAAATAATATTGGAACTCAGAAGAATATCTGCTAAAGTGTGACTGCCGTCAAATGGTGCAATGTCAGAATATGTTAGACCTAGAGTGTGCATCAAATTTTTAGTGATGCTAATAGCCTTAGAACTGAGACTTGAAGAATGCAATGCGATTACAACATCGCCCTCACATATTTCAGATTTTCTAGGAAGCAAACGAGATTTTTCAACAGCTCCTCTTACAAAGGCAGTTAAATCAAAATCTCCATCATTATACATTCCAGGCATTTCTGCAGTTTCTCCACCTGGAAAAGATATTTAAGATCAGAGAAACTTTTCAATGTCAACATTTAAATGTTTTTCAACAGTACACTTTTTTTCTTCTTCATAATATTAAAAAAAAATAGTTCGAATTGTGTTGTATTCAGCAAACTGCTACATTTGTAAATTAATATAGCTTAAAACAATAATTTCGAAAAATGGTTTAGAAGATTATTTAATTGAAACTTGAAAATAACTAAGTTTTTAATATTTTAAAAGTTATTTCAATGTTACATTCTCTGGGCTAACATTGCAAAAATTCAAAAATTACATTGAAGAGCAAATTTATTTCTGTTTTCCGTTGCACAATATTTTTTAACGGATCTTGGATATTTTCAAATCATCGATTTCAAATCTGTAATAGGGATTTCTCTCCAAGCAACAGTTGTTCTTAAATAACATTTTTATTCTATTTTTTGTTAACATGCACATATTTATAAACGTTATAACAGAGGTCCTATAAATGATACAACACCCTTCTAGGAGAGGTAGGGTACATCATCAGAATTAAAGCTGCATAGGAATCCATGCCCAAAAATGTCGCCATAAGCCACTAGAAACACCTCCCTATTATGAGCTGTTTCTTTGTCTGCTTCTGAACAGGTCAGAATAGGGAGGCGCCCCTAGCTGCATACAAGAGCGTTTTCTGACATAGGTTCCTATGCAATTCTTATCCGAATAATATGCCCTAACTTCCCTAGAGGTTTGTTATAACATTTATTATTACATTATCAAATTATATATAACGTTTTTAAACCTACACATTTTGATTACAAATGTCCCTTAAAAAAATCTGTAGTTTTGCAAAACTAATATCAAATTTGAAATCCCACCACCAAATTAGGCAGGATCAAGTATTTGTATAAATGAAACAAAAAAAAAAATTCCACAGATTTATTTATTGATTTTAATGATTTTTATTTAAGCAGAAAATATCATTTATTCGGGGATAATAAAAAAAATTTATAGATTTTTTTTAAATATTTAAGCATTTTATCCATTTTAAAGATAGTATATAATAATTTTAAATTATAGCTTTGAGTTCATGACACTTAAAATGTGAGCTTTGACAGATTATTGAAAAATTACTCATGAAAAATTACATAAACTTTTATTTACTGAAACTGTAATAAACTGCAAAATGTTCAAAACATAATGCACATTTACTAACCAATAAGAGTACAATGGCTCTCTTTGCATCCTCTAGCAATACCAGTAATGACTTCAGCAGCCACTTCAGTATTTAACTTTCCGCATGTAAAAGTATCTAAGAAAAATAAAGGTTCAGCACCAGAAGAAAGAATTTCATTGACTGCTAATGCAACTAAATCATAGCCAGCAGATTCATATTTAGAACATTCTTGAGCAACCTAAAAGTATTTTAACAACTAAATATAAGGTAAATAAATAACAGTTATTTCAATAATTTGAAACTGAAAATAGAAAATACAGAAAAATACCATATAACCAATATGATATGGTATTTTACAAGCATTTGCCAGGCACCATAATTGAGTTAAAGATAAAAAAAAATTTAAAAAAAATAATAACATTGAAATATTCACAATAACATTTTTTTTTTATGTTTCATATTTCAAATAATGTACAAGAAAATAAGTGGAAACTATCTGTCGCCAAACATCAACTATGCCCAATACAAAAAAAAAGACATTTCCTTCCTCTCCTTATTTTAACTCACTAGTGTTTTATTGCAAGGAGAACACCTGTTTTTGATCACAAATCTATTTAATCATAACTTCATGTTTTATCATTTCTCATTCTGACATCATTACTTCTGTTGTTGTTTCTAATGACACTTGGACAAACCAAGCTTATCCGCCATTGGCCTTTTGTGAATTAAATCAGGAAGGTGGGCACTTCATTCGATAAGAGAGCACCACAAGAGTGAAAGTGCCTCTTAGCTCTGAACCCCACATATAGATGGCAGCACCGCTCATTTGTGAGAACACTTCCTCAATCCAGACATAGATCTGAAGGAGAAGGAAATTTTCTTCAGATCCTTGCACCCATGATACTGCTATTTGACTAATCACAGGACCTTAGATTCCACAGATTTTACAACATGTATATTGCATGTTCTCGAGGAGTCATAGCGAAGTCGAGGATCAAATTTTGGCCCTCCCAGACCGGAGTCTAATTCTTAAATCGCTGGGCTACCCAGTGGCGTAGCGAGCTTAACTCGCGCCCGNTGACCCCCCTTGCCCACCCCTCACTACGCCACTGGGGCTACCATGGTCTTTATCATTATTTCTAAAAGCTGTTAATGATGATACCAAAGCCAATTGAACTTTCTTTTACATTTCCATGCAATACTTAAATACTGAACAATTGAAATAAACTGTAAATTCTATTTGAATACAAAAGAAATAAAGCTTAAAAGTGATGCATAATATACACTTACATCAATGTAAGTCATTGAATCAGTTTGTTAATAATTCTTTAACATTTTTGACTGAGAAACTTCTACTTTATATAATCTTTGTATAACAACAATAGACAAATTATTGTAAGGTTTTTATATAAACATTTTAATAATAAAATTGTTCAAAATATGGAATAAAGAGATAAATAAGTATATCTACTAAATTTTTATTCTTTTTATGGTATTTTTAGTATTAAAGGAATAATGTTCAAAATATAAGAAATTTGCTATAGTGGTACTTTTCTCACCATTATGCATTCTAGCTTTAAAGACTTTATGTTACATAATAAAACTTTTAAAAAGAACTTGTTCTAGATTGATAAAAGTTGTGTGCATAAACATATTATTATATATTGAGTAAATTTAACAAGTTTGACAAGTTGGTTTCAAACACTCTTAGACTTTGGGCCTCAAATGGCCTAATCTAAATCAATCCCAAAGTCTCTTGAAAAATAAAATAAAATACTTAGCTATGTTAATGATGAAAACTATTGACTTTTCATTTCTTTAATGATCTAACAGAAATATAAGTTATATACTTGAATTCCTTAATGATCTTACAGAATACATTTTCAGGAGTTATTGCAAACTTTTGTGGAAGGTCCTTTTTTATAAAATTGTCAAAACTCTACTTCTAAGTTAGTGAAAATAGGATTTCAAATTTTTTGAACGACCAAAAACCGATAATCTGCTCAGAATTTTTGATAAATGTTCGTTTTTGTGAAAAATTTATTTATAATTCTGCAAAACAGAAAGAAAAAAAGTTTTTTCTTTTAAACTGTCTTGAAAGGAGTTTCAGTGTAAAAGTATGAAATAAAAAGGTTATTGACTCAGTTTTTTGGAAAAGTAAAAAATAAAAATTTTGCAAAAAAACAATATTTTGTGGCGAGTTTATTTTCATGATAAATATTTTGCAAAGGGTTCAATTTTATCATAAATTATTTTGTGAAGCATATGTTTTAACTATGCACTATTTTACGAAGTGTCCATTAACGGGCACACATTTCTCCTAAAATAACCCTTGGTTCTGTACTTCAACAGCTTAAAGTAATCTTACAGAATTCTATGTTTAATACTTGAAAACCTCAATGATTCTTTTTCATTACTCTTATTTTTTATTGAGCATGCAGATAACGTGTTTTACACTTGAATACTTCAAAAATAACAAGATGCAGCAGATTAAAAGAACATTTCAAACTGTTTGATAAACATATTGTTTAAAATTTAGAAAAATTTAATTACCTTCAATTTATCACCAATGTTGCTCACTTTGGAGACAAGATTTGGGTCAATATAGTTGGAAAGTTCAAAAATTCCTCCGAATCCACCAATACCCCCACAAACCTCTGGTCTGACTGTTTCTTTGGTGAGAACTTTGATTTTTCGAACAAGATCATCTGCAGAATCAATATCAACACCAGCTGATTTATATGTTATACCTTCAAAATGTTGACCTCTAAGAGAAAAAGCTTGACTTTAGTGATTTAAAGAATATGGATTTTGTATAAATATTTCGGAATTTTATGCGCACTTAAACAATACAGAAGAGTCAAGACAAACAAAGTTTCTGTACTCTAATTTAATTCAAGTAAAATTTTGAAAAATTTAATAATTTTTTTAATATGAGCTTTTTTAAATTAAGATGACTGATAAAATGTGATTATTTTGTGCTACAGTTTTAAGATTTTTAACCCATGAGGGCGTGTGATACAATTATTGTGTTAAACCCCATAGCAGAATCATGGCGACACAACATTGTCATAGAGCATTACAGAGTTCTCACAGAAAAATTTTTCCTTTGGAAAATAAATAGTATTTGTTTTTTCTTTCTAACGAAATTTTCAAAATTTTTTTCTCCAAAATTATGTTCAAAAAATGCTTTACTCGTGCAGTGGAGGGTAAAGAAATGGTCTTGATTTTTTTTATTTGAGAATAATGAAAAATAAAGAAAAAATTTAGTTTCCTTTCCTGCAGAAAGTTTTTTTTAAATTTATTTATTTATTTTTGTTGATAATTTTAATCTATTACGCACATAAAAATTTTAGTTTACGCATTTGAGTCTTCACTTTATCGCTCACAACTCGCCGATAATGAACATAGTGTTTTAATAATTTTTTTCGGCAAACGCTACGAATTTTTACTTGGTTATTTAACATTTCAACGTCTTTCATTGCTCAATTATTATTGGTATTCTCGCGATTTTTTAAAAAATACCGATATTATTATGGAACGAGAAGTTCGAATCGTAGATTCAAGAAATCACTCATAGAAGTAGGTACTTGGTTTGTGTCGATATCCTCGTTAATCCTTGTAGCGCTTCAATCGATCTTCAGAAAGTTATTGCTACAAATTTTCACATTTAAAAAAAATATATCCCAATGTTATTTATGCAATTTTATTACACGCGAAACTCAAATTACTTATTTGATTATTTACTTTTGATGGGACAATTTTTATCGCTAATAATTCCAAATTCCACAAGATTTTTAAAATTCTGGTTATTTCTCAGTAGATATCATTGCTACACGCAAAATTTGTATCGCTCATTTAAGTAATCACTTTCTGAAGAGCTCAATTTATGCCAATAACATCGCACAATGTAGTGTTTCGATTATATTTTCGGCAGTTATTGATATTGATTTCCCCGTGGATTTTAAACATCCCGGTATATTTCTGACAATATGAGAAATTCGAATTGCGCAATTGAATATTTAATTATTAACGCAATGATTCGATCGCTTTTTTTGGCAATTAGTGCTATTGTCGCTTTTTTTTGCAATTATTGAAGAAAATATACTTGAGGGTGCCCCTTGGCGACTTATGTTTGGCGCCATACTTGTTTGCCCCTAACGTCGTGGTAACCCACAAACAGGACATTTATATCTATTACTAATTAAACCTTCATTCATACACCAGTCAATCACTGTTTTTTTTTCATTGTTATTAAAATCGTACAGAAACTTAAGATTTATCTTATTGACAGTATTCATTTTTAGTACCAGAAGCAAAAATAACCTTACCAGCCGGTATCCAAACTAGAACTAACGGATCTCTGAAATTACATTTAAAAATTCNAACTTAAGATTTATCTTATTGACAGTATTCATTTTTAGTACCAGAAGCAAAAATAACCTTACCAGCCGGTATCCAAAGTAGAACTAACGGATCTCTGAAATTACATTTAAAAATTCATTTAAAAACAACGCTAAATTCTAAACTAATCAGAATCACGATTAAAATCTAAACCAATCAGAATCACGATTGGTTTTCAACATCGCCCAGCTTGGCGATCAATCGCGATCACAACTTGGCGGGGGCACCCTCAAGTATAGTCTACCCCAATTATTGCTATATATTTTGGCAATTATTGCTATTGCTATGAAAAAAATAGAATGTAGTGCATAATGCTCATTTAAAAGAACTTAAAAATATTTTAAATGAGCCTTATGTACTAAAACTATTATGTACTTCCAAAACTTTTTCTAAAAGGGACAACTAGATTTGAAATAATCCATTTAAAATAATAACAACAAGATGAACGATTAACAATCTCTGAAAAATATTGATTGATTGGTTCTTTTTTATAATTCGTTATTAAAAAAAGAAAGCACCATAAAATTAAAGGTAATAGTTAAAAGAAGAGTATATCATTTGTAAAGTAATCAAATGGTCCTTCACAAACCAAAAGCTTGCCAAAAAACATCCTCATCCAATACACATGTTAAAAATAAATCAGTGGAATTCTGTTCATGATACTGTTAACTTGAAACAATATTTGACTTGATTAGAATTTGTTTAAGAAAAATTAGATTAAATTGGAATTCTTTAAGGACAAATTTGAAAAGTTGTTTATCATGTTCAAAAAATTCGTAAACTTACACTATTGATGTGTTTTAAATAATTTGCATCTATAATTCTTTTAAAACATTTAAACAATAATCTGTTCAAGATATATATTCAGAAGGTAAGCTTAGTATGTGATAAGATATATATAACACCAAATTCTATATCAAGCAAAGCCTCCCATTTTAAGGTTCGCCCATAGGAAAAAATCCAGATTTTCCAAAATAATATAAATTTCGTGAATAATTGTTGCATAATGTACTAAATATTTTACACATAGGGAATTTTAGGGATTTTTACAGTCATCAAAATAGAAAAACTGCAATATTTTCCAATTATGATAGACATTAAACAGATTTGAAATGTTATGTATTATATTTACGCATAATTTTGAATATTAATAAGCCTTTATTTCATCAAAGACAAAAAATTTTTTTATTTAATTTAAAAAGGGAGTTTTGAATAAAAATAAACTGAACATTTTAGAACAAAAAAGTTTTGAACTGCTTTCTATAAATGAGGTTTGCTTCCTTATGTAGTAGTATTACCTCTTTAATTCAAGCAAGCAATAATCTGTGCAAAATTCTATTTCAATAGAGATTTTTTTCAGGAAACTTACTCCATTTTAGGGAATTTTCTAAAATATACAAAAACCAGGAGAATTTTAGTTAAACCAGTAGAAACTGGCAAAATCCAGAAGTGTACTGGGAAATCCAGTAGAGTTGGCAGCTATGTTCGCCTTATAGAGATCTTCTACTGCAGCTGCAAAGTTCTAATGATTTGATTCTAATGATTGAATTTCTAGTAGTGACAAAGAAAATTTTCAGTCACTAACATTACTTAGCAAAATAAAAATAAAAAATACTTCTTAAATTAACGAAAATAAATGTACATAGCTGGATGGGAAAAAATCCAGTAGATATTATAAAATTATATAAATTTCATGATAATTGTTGCAAAATGTACTAAATATTTTACACTAGGGGAATTTTAGAGATTTTTATAGTCATCAAAATAGAAAGACTGCAATGTTTTCTACTCATAATTAAGATTAAATGAACATCAAATGTTACACATTATCTTTATTCCTAGTTTTGAATAGTAATACGAATTTAATGCATCAAAGACAGTTAAAAGATTTTTAATTAATAAAAAAGGGAATTGTGAATAAAAATTAAATCAAAATTTCAGAACAAAAACGTTTCAAACTGATTTTTATAAATGAGGCCCACTTCATTGTGTATTAATAAACACTTATTTAAATATTCAAGCTAGTAATAAAGACATTTCACCCGATAACTTTAGCAGAAACAGTTTATTGTTTGAAGCCTATTGATAACCAAAACAATCACACTATAGTAAAAATCTGTGCAAAAATTCTATTTTAATAAGGATATCTTTATGACAATACAATAAAAAAGATAGTGCTGTTTACACCCACTGGAACAAGAAAGTGGGGAAGGCCGCGGTTGAGATTGGTTGACTCGGTGAAGTCTGATTTTCTTGCAATTAACGAAAAGAATTAAGAGATCAAAGATAAATTGGAAGTCATTATGGAGAAATCTTCAGGGGAAGGCATTGGCTCACATTGGGCAGTCTGGCCAGCTATGATGATGAGGGATTTCTTTAAGAAACTTACTCAATTTTAGGCAATTTTGAAAAATGTACAAAAATCAGTAGAATTTCAATTATACCAGTAGATCAGGAGAAACTGGCAAAATCCAGTAGTCTACTGCAAAATCTAGTAGATTTGGCATGCATGTTGAATGAATACCTCAGTGCTCAACAATGGTTTGAATGTTCGAATAGTCAGATGGATCTGAAACTATAATATTCCTTAAGCAGTTTAAGCCCTCCCACCTATATATATTTTTTCAAGAGTGCTTTGACTCAATTTAAGGCAAATTAAAGAGTATTTTTTTCATGATAAAGCTTTAAGCACAACATTGAAATTGTCATATTGCAATTTTTAATATATCCCATTTTATCTGTCTGTGAATAGTTTCTTAAAAATCCACTTCATTTTTTATAACGTTTGCTTTATAATGAGTGATTTTTTATAACATTTGCTTTGATGAGTGTTTAAAATGACTAACTTTTTTTCAATGCTGTCAGGACATGGGACTTTTTGTAAAGAGAATTTAAAATTAATAAAATGTTTTACTTTTATAAGAGTTAGATTTTCTTAAAGTCTTATACGAAGTTGCAATCATACACTACAAAACTTTTCAAATACTGCATTTATTGAAGAAAAGTACAAGCTTAAGATAATCTTCAATATTTAAAAAAAAATATTAACACAGTTTTCTTCTTCCTTCTATCCAATTTTATCTGAAATTAAAATATTTTATGAGTTATTTATTCTTGAAATTCAACAGCTACTTTTCTTTTTAGATATTTTGAAAACAGAATTCTTTATAGCATTAGTTGTAAAGATGAGTTTTAGAAAAAGTTTGGATAAAATATTACAGGAATATAAAACTGAAAGAGCCTCAGTTTTCATATTCGACCCTATTTCTAAGTAAAGTAGTCTAAAAGAATAATTTACTACTAGAGAGTATAGACTATAGATAAACTGAAAATAAAATAGTTTTATGACACGTGAGAAAGACACAGAGATGTTGCACAAATTTATGATTTAAAACAAACAAAAAAAATTTTTAAATATGTATTCGAGGAAAAAGACATCAAAGTTAACTGGAACTGTTACAAAAGAAATGGAAATAATTAGAAAAAGCAAAGAAATATGGAGAAAATGGTACCAATGTACCTCACAATAATAAGACATTTCACCCGACAACTTTAGCAGAAAAGAGAAACAGTTTATTGCTTGAAGCCTATTGATAACCAAAACAATCACACTATAGTAAAATTTACCAAAAACCTAACATAAACATACATTATATACTAGTTCAGAGGGAGACAAAACCTTAAAATTTCTAGAAGCCATCACGTTTGTTTTAAGAGTTATTAATTGCATATTATGAAAGTTTGACCATCTCTACATGCTGATTACGTGTCTAAGTCTGGTCAACATAGATTTCATTAAAATTTGAAACACTGATTAAAAATTTGAAAGTACCATCACAACTAGGTTTTACCTTCCTCTTTATCTCTACATATAATAAAATAACATGTTAATTAAACATGTTAAAAAATAAAAAATAATATAAGAAATTTTTAATAACATTAATTACAAAAATGATACAACACAATTAAAAATAATGTTAACAAATTTATAGTACATCAATTATTTACTCACTTTATTTTGCATTTTATTTTTAAAGTAAAATATCATTATTTTATGTTAAAATCATAACATAGACATTTAGTTTCGATAGTGTAACACTGAAGTAAGAGATAAAAAACAAATCGAATAGTTTAAATGCCCTATTTCTCCTAAAGTATTGTATATAGCAATTAGAAAAAGTAATTAAAACTGCAATAACATTTCTTATACAAAATGGATTTTTTTAAAAAAATTGATGTCTAACATGAAGCATGTGAGAATATTAGCTATTTTTTAAATACTGAATTTCACAATCCTCACAATATTTCTCTAGCTTGCAGAGCTCCTTATGAGCTCCTTTACTTAACTGATAACTTTTTTTTTAACATTTTAAGAGCTAATGTTTCTCAAACTAATAAAAAAATGTGAATATCTTACACCATTGTACTTAAAATTTCCCCCTAACTTCAAATTTTAAAGTTTTCAATTGTCTATGAACTGCGAAACAAAATATTGAAAGCAAATGTTGCAATTTTAAATACACGAAACAGCAAGATTGACAATTATTTTTTTTTTATTCTAGGGACAAAAATTGCAAATTCAATAAATTTCCATCATATTAAAAATCATTGTGATGAAATTGCTATGCATTGTTTTAATAAAAAAACAGCATTTAAAAATAAATAAATAAAATTAATTTTAAATTCCTTACCTTCGAAAAGCTTTCTTAGCAATATCAGAACGATAATATTTTCCTTCAAAATTAATAACTTTACAGCCTTCAAGTGCTATGTAAACAGCATCTTGTAAGTTAAGACCCATAGCAACTACTGCCAATACCCTGCCACCAGAGGTTACTACTTTATCAGAACTTATTGCAGTTCCTGCATGGAAAACTAAGTACACTCCTTCATTTTTATCCAATCCTAAAGAGAAAAATTAAATTTTGATGATTAAAAACATTAAATTCATGTATATAATGAAAGTACTATATTAAATACTCAAATATGGTCCATAGCTAGCAATTTATTTGTAGAGGCTAATACTTTAAATTAGAAATATATTTTGTTTTCATTGTAATAATTTGTTACAGCTATGTACTTCATATTTATGATAAACAAATTTTTAAAATAATAAGCCATCTGTTAACATAGCAACTAATTTTAAAACGTGGCGAGAATAAATAACATCATTTACTAAGCAGAAAATCATACATTTTTATCTTCTTTAGTTTTCCTTTAAATGATTTTTAAATATATTCATCATTTTCAGGATACCCAGACCAAATAGGTTTTTAATTTAAAAATGAATTATTTTAAGAAAATATGTTAAAATTCTATTCAATTTTTTTATTTGCAGAAACAAAATTGAAGTAAAGCTAACAAAAAGGAACTCTTACCTTCTATTACTTTGCCTTTAGGATAACTTCCAGGGTAACCACCACTAACGAGAACAATCCCAGCAGCATAGCTATTGGGTGACCATTCCACTTTGATGTTACTTAAAGTACCTTTGACGCAAGCAAGCATTATGTCATATAGATCTGATTTCAGCAGAGGTACTATAACCTAAGTAGTAAATTTATGTTTTACACAACTAAAAAAGCATATATCACAACAGATTAAACTCTTGAGCTATGTAATCATATCAATATTTCCTTAAGCTTCTAAATGATAAATTAAAGGATTCATTTATTATATTACTAAAAAAAATTATCAATCCTGAAATGTTTTAGAAAATATTGTATCATGGCATTCTTAAAGAAGATAATGTTACATTTTATAACTTAAAAAATATTAATTTTAAAATATCTTAAGTAACATATTATAATAGATTACCAGAGCAGGGTACCACAAAGTTTATATTTTTATTTAAATAAAAATAACGAAAAAGAAAATCATTACATAAACAAAACTCCAAGTCAAATATTATTAATATATATAAATACCAGGGGTCTGTTTGGAAGAAATTCGGGTCTGTTAACAGACCCTTAACAAAATATCCTTTAATAAAAACGGACCCTTCACAAAATATTTTAACTTAAAAATGGACCCTTCACAAAATAATTTATCTTTTAATCGAACTCTTCACAAATTTGTTTATCTTCATTATTATTTTGTTAATCGAATAAACCCCTCCCAGGAAGGTGGGGGGGGAGAAGAAAGACAAATGTAAATGAACTAAGTTTTGTCTTCCGCAGACGCTTCTTCCTTTATTCGTCCGAAATTAATATTCTGCGTTCAGCAGTATAGGCTAAATACCAAATATTTGTATGTTGCATCTCTAATTTAGTAGCAGCAACTGCTGTTTATTTTTTAAAATAAAATTTTTTTATTATAATTTTACAGTGTTGAGCATAATCTTGTATGTCTTTACAATTTAAAAGTCCTTGAAAAAGTTTTTTGCAATAACAGGACCCTATTTGCACAAATTCACAAAAGCCAGACCCTGGTTGAAAGAATGTGACTTAACGTTTATTTTATATTCACAATCTAGCATTTATTTCATACATTTACCAAAAAGACTTCGTGATTGTTGACATTCAGTGAAAGTTGACTTGCTATTTTTTATTGCTTTATGTATATGATGTTTGTTTAAGCACAAGTTTCTTTCTGAAAAACTGGTAAAAAAAATTTTTTTTGACAGAAGTTTTTTTTTTATTTGACAGAAAATGAAGTTATTTTTTATGTTATTTTTGTTATTTATAAGTAAGTTATTTATATAAATAACAAAATTGTTATTTATATAATAAGTTATTTTTTGCAATTTCAGTGACTAGGGAGTGGGGGTTAGTGCAAAAGTTATAAAAAAATTACTACGCAAACAAAGTTTGAAGAATTTGATTGCAGTTTTATTTCGAATTTGGAAATATTAAAATCAAATTTAATCAATATATCAATTAATGATAAATTAAATTAATATATCAAATAACTAATTATCAAAATGCACCCTGTGATTTACACAAGAAAAATGCTGCATAACAGTGCCCGCATAGTGGTGTCATCTATGGTAAATAAATTTAATTATAATCAAGCCTATCCATTTTTACTAGAACGGATCTCAGATGGACATTAGAAATCAAATAATGCAAGATACAAGACATCAACCTAACATCAGACACGGCTATTATCTGGAAGAATCGGCTATTATCTGGAAAGACCTATTATCTGGAAAAATCTTTTTCTCTGGATTTGGGGAAGTTCTGATGATACTGGAGATGGGATTTTCAACTGTATATATGAACATATATATCACTATGAAAAACGGAAATTGATAGAAATCAACAATCATGCAATATTTCCTTGTAGATCAAAAAAATAAGAATAAATATAAGTGAGCAGAGGATGATTTGAACTTTATCTTTCATAAATTAAAGTAGGTTTTACTTTTTTTCCCTCCATTTGATGTGAAGAGGCAGATAATCAGATAAAAAAAATTTAAAAAGACTAACACATATTCTAAAAGTAAATTAATCTGATTTAATAAAAAAGATTATATAAAACATAGCCTGTCTGCTGGTGTTTTTTTCAAACACTATTAATAAATAGCTTCATTAATATTCATAGTTCATTCTTCTCACTCAAGTTGGATTTGCTTTAACTGCTCTCATCTTTTCAACAACTCTTTTAGTGTGCTTATTGAAACAGAATAAATATTTTGGAATAGAAAAAGCAGCGAGAAAGAAAAAAAATTATTAATATCTTTTAAACAAATCGCCAACACAAGAAAAAACTTTCTTAAAAAAGGAGAAGAGACAAAAAATGGAAAATAGACGTTACAGGTAACTAACTAAATTGGGAAAGAAAAATAATCATAAAAAGAATATATCTTATTTTAAGTTTAATACCTGTGTCTCAGGATCACCAAATCTACAATTAAATTCTAAAACTTTAGGACCATTCTTTGTTATCATCAATCCAGCATAAAGAACTCCAACATATGGTGTGCCATCTTTCTTCATGCCATCAATAGCTTTCTGTAAAATGTGTTCTTTGACGTACTCAAGTTCTTCAGAATTTACCAATGGACACCTACAATAAGCACCCATTCCTCCTGTGTTGGGTCCTTTATCATCATCAAGAAGGCGTTTATGATCTTGAGCTGGAGGCATCACAGAAATGGTTATTCCATCACTGAAACACAATACTGACACTTCTTCTCCAGAAAGCAGCTCTTCTATGACAATAGTTTGACTAGCTGATGCCAATCCTTTATCCTACAAATTCAAAATAAATATTATGAAGCCATTGATGGTAGTTTGGTACATAATTTACATCACACTATGATACATTTGATAAATGATGTATGATAAAAATTTTAGTTTATTCACTGGTAGCAATTTTAGAAAGATTTAAGAAAGAAGGGGCTAGCGTGGACAATTATAATAAATTTTGCAAAAAAAGTTTATTGAACCTAATTTGAAAAAATCTTTTTCTTTAAATAAAAATTTGAATGCTTTATCGTCAATCTGAATGGCATAACTCGTTTTTTCCCCCTCCTTTATTTAACCTACTGTTACTTAAAATAAGTTAATAATTACAATATTGTTACTTATAGCAAGTAAAATTTCTTTTTTTCGTTTTTGGAAGGGGGGTGGAGTTTTATTTGATAAAAACAAATTTTCTATTTTAAAAATTCATTCATTTTTTACTATTAATTGAAACAGCAGTAAACTATTTATAATGAAAATATTTAAAAATTAATAAATAAATTTATATGCAAACAGAAAATGAAATTATCATAAATTATTTGAAATTTAATTTTACCAACCTCCTTCAGATCATCCACAGCTTTCACAGCTTCTTCTCTACAACTAGCCACGATAACTCCTTTTCCAGCAGCTAAGCCACTAGCTTTAACAACTAGTGCCTCATATGGAGCACTAAATTTTAAAACAAAATGAATATGAAGAACTTTCAAAAAATTAAAATTAACAGAAATGATATACTGCTTATTGTTGATTCCAATACTTAATAAATACAGGTTTACTTATTTTAAATCACTAATCAAACAACATAAAAAAATAAAAAAGAGAAAAAGTAATAATTAAATATGATTATAAATTTAAAAGCCTCTAAAAAGATATAGCTTATATTTAAAAAAAAAAAAAAAAAAAAAAACAGCAATTACTTTTTTTTAAAAAATTGTGGTACAAATTATGTAGATTTTTAGAAGAATATTTTTAAACATTTCCTGCATCATCAGAATAACAAAATAAATTAAACAAAGAAGATTTTTAAGCACAAGAATATTTAAACTATAAAAACTTTAATGAACTTTTGAACCAAGTTAAATATTAAAATTCAAATTTTGCTAATCAAGCAAGTATGTTAATATTAAAAAACCCTTCAGTAAATTAAAAATTGTTGTTTGTGTTTAAATAGAGTGTCAAATGTAGATTCAGTAAAATAAAAATATAAATGTAGTCATCAATTTAACTTTTAGTATATTTGTCAAGTTTAAATTTGAAACATTATTTCCCTAAATGTAGATGTTGCGGTTAAAAAAAAAATCAACCGCTTCATGAAATCAAGTGTTCTCAGGACGAATGTGATCTTAATAAGCAGCAGGCACTGTACTTTTAACTTTAAATAAAATTTTCCCTCAGAATGAATGGCAACCTATTTATTAGATTTTCAACATTTAACCAGACACTAAAATCTTTATTAAACTATCATGAAAATGATTAAACTTATTGCTTTTTTTTTTTCTTAAGTAATAAAAAAATTTCAAGCAAAAGCAGTTATCTGATTTTCAAACATAAAAAACATTACATATTTAATTAGTTAAAGTGAATAACAAATTTTATATTATTCCAATGAATTAGAAATTTTAAAACATACAATGAACATAAATATATTTTGCATGACATTTCAAACCAAAGGCACCCTTACTTTAAAATATGATCTTTTGCTTCATCAGCATTAGTAAATGATTTCCAACGTGCGGTAGGAATTTGGTATTTATCCATAAACTGTTTTGCAAACTCTTTACTAGCTTCAATTTGAGCTGCTTTTTTACATGGTCCAAAACAAGGGATCCCAGCTTGAGCAAGAGAGTCAGAAAGTCCTAATTCACAACAAAAATAGTTTTAAAAATATTCCATACAAGAAAATTTTTTAAAACTAAATTTTAAAAATAAAATTATTGAAAGCACAGTTGCCATAACCAAAGTGTTGAAGCTAAATATTGTACATTATGACTTTTTTAAAAAAGTTAAACAAAATTGAAATATTTTTCAAGTTAAACAAAATTTATTTTTGTCTATGCACAGCACATTACCTCTATTTAACTATACTTACAATTTTAACCTATTCTTTTATACTAAAATATTTTTATTTATTTATTTTTGTTATTACAGTAGGGAACCGATTATCCGAAACGATCTGGACCATCGATATTCCGGATAACTGATTTTTCCGGTTTTCTGAATCGCTACGAAAAGTCGCTTTTTTTATTGTAAAACCCAACTAAAAAAAAATAAAAAATTGGAAATAATCCTAAAAACAAGAAAAAACGATGAAGTAATACACTAATGATTATTTCCAAAATGATGATAAGGTAAAGATTTTTCAAAAAAGAACGAAAAATCCTAAATTCTTATGAGAGAAAAAAAAAACTTCAAAAAATGGCGGGAAAATTTATCGAATTTCGTTCCGGCTTTTAGGTTTTCCGGTTTTCTGATTTCCGGATAACGGGTTCTGTACTGCACCTCTTCTAATATGCGAATACCCTTTTGAAACATAGATTTTTAAAAATACAATATTTTTGATAAAAAAAATTCAAGGAAATTGCAAAATAAGTAGTTATTAAAGAAATACATATGTGTTGACAACTGAGCAGAAAAAGTTTTAGTAGTTCACAAAAATATTTAAAACACTGCTTCTAATAAATGCACACTTATAATAAGAAGTTTAATTCTTTATGAAAAATAAATTAAGCGATTACAGGCAAAGAAAACAATAACCATTTAGCTTCAATAAAACTTAAAACATATTTACTTCAAAAGCACTTTTGTAATATGTATATATTTGAACACAAATAAAGAAATTGTTCTTTTCAAAAAATATATTTAACTAAATAAATTAAGAACTTTTATAATAAAAATTCATGAATTGATTTGTTTTAAAATCGAAAGATTTTATCGTCAAACAATTAAAATGTGTAATTTGCATAAAGAATCATTAAAGTTGAATGCAAGAGTTTTGCATCAAATTTTAATAATTGTAGGTTATATTTACTTCTGTTTGAGACACACAGTATTATATACTATAAGAGAAGTAATACAAATTAACACAGTATTATATTAAACTAAGAGAAGTAATCAATTCATGAATTGATTTGCTTTTAAAATCGAAAGATTTTATCGTCAAGCAATTAAAATGTGTAATTTGCATAAAGAATCATTAAAGTTGAATGTAAGAGTTTTGTATCAAATTTTAATAATTGTAGGTTATATTTACTTTTGTTTGAGACACACAGTATTATATACTATAAGAGAAGTATTACAAAAAAAATAATAATTTTAAAAAAAAATTAGATTTAAAACTAAGGCAAGCAATTCAAGCATCCCGAATAAAAAACATAATAATACAGCACACTCTCGATTATCCGTGCGCGGATTATCCGGTTTGTGGATTATCCGTGCTCATTCCGGAGTCACGCAAAAAATATGAAGAGAAACATTTTCAAGATTAAAAAAATTTGATTCATGAAGTTATAACACTACCAAATTTTTGGAAGCAATATTCGTTATCGGATTGAAGTATATGGAACATCAGCAACATGGTCAAAGGTAAAATTGTCTACGTTATCACGATCTTGGAGAAAGATCATACCGCTTGATGAACAATCCTCTTCAGATGTTCAAGAAAAATATGATAACAGTATTCTCGAACAAGCAAAAGAAATCTAAGGTTTCGAAATTCTTGATGAAGAAAATTTAGAAGATTGGTTTCAAAGTGATGCATGTGAGCCTGGCTTCCAGTATTTGACTGATGAAGACATCGTTATGTTGTTAAATCAAATAGTGATGATAGTAACTGATGCAGAAGATGTAGTAAATGAATGAAATACAATTTCTCATTCTGCTGCTCTGTGGAAACTTTATTAGATTATATGGGAGGATTTGATTACGGTGACATTACTGCGGTTCGTAAAATATGTGTATCGATATATGGCGAAGACGCATTACACATTTTTCAATAAGGAAAATTCCTAGTTTGATGTTATGCATGCAAATGTCAGTAATTGTTATATTTTTTGTACTGATGTTGAATTTTTCTTTAATAAAAGGAGTTTTCGGATTATCCGTGTTTTTCGATTGTCCGTGCGACCTGTCCCGGTGATTAACCCGGATAATCGGGAGTGCACTGTATTTTCATTTTAACCAAACAAAGAATAACAGGAAATTGAAGAATCTAAAAACAAATTTAATCAATACCATTTGCTAAAGGATCCTCAGGTCCAACAACAACAAGGCTAATATTTTTGGACTCACACCACTGAGACACCTGTGCATGGTCTTTTACATCTAAGCCTGATTCAGAAAATGAAATAAAATTATTCAAACATCAGCTAAAAAAATAAATAATGAAAAATTTAATAACATATAGTGAAAAGAACAGTTTAGAAAAAAAAAGGACTAACAAAAAGGAAAAAATTTTAATGAATGATAAAGAATAAGCACTTTAATTAATTGCAATGCATGGACCACATTAGGAACCGAAGTTTCAAGTTAATTTTTCAAATCTAACATCTACTAAACATCTGCTAAAAAAATAAATAATGAAAAATTTAATAACATATAGTGAAAAGAACAGTTTAGAAAAAAAAAGGACTAACAAAAAGGAAAAAATTTTAATGAATGATAAAGAATAAGCACTTTAATTAATTGCAATGCATGGACCACATTAGGAACCGAAGTTTCAAGTTAATTTTTTTTTAAATTATAAACATCTCAAAAGTTTCATGATTTATTTGCAGTTAATTGCTTTAATGTTTTATAATAGGTTGTGGAGCAACGAACAAGTAACGCCACCTAGCGAGAATCTAGAGAAAAACTCAGAGACAGTGAGAGAATGTGAATGAACGGTAGAAAGCCTGCCATGCAGAGCTCTTTATTTTTTTTCTTCTTCATATATGTTTTATATGTTATGTTGGTGACTGTGCTGAATGCTAACTATAGTCATGTTGTTCAAAATAAAATAAAAGTTAGCTGGCTGCTGTTTTATTCCCCCCCCCCCTGCACCACACTTCACAAGGTTCGAAAACATTAGCGCTGAATTTTTATGTGATCATTAGTACAATATTGCCAAAATAACTTTAACTTTTTACAAGTGATTTATCTAATCAATTGAATAGTTTGAAGCAAGTCAAGTTAGGTGATTATTAATCACATAAACTACAGGGTAAAAAAATATATATATAACCTTGGCAGGTTTTTTGGATTTTATAGGATTTTTTGTCTAAGGGGCTTTTTAAGATTTATTTTTTCTCCTTTTAAAAGTATTTGTTTCTGAAGGGCAAGGGAGAAGTACCTTCTTTAAAAGAATTACATTGATAAAAGTAATTATACTTTAATTAACTTAATATGCAAGCAATTTAAATTTAAATAATATAAATAAATCAGAATCATTTGAATTTAAATAACATAAATTAACCACATTCATAGAGCACCTAACATCACAACACAAAATGTAATATGTTTACACCTACATATATAACATATTTGAGAATTATTTCATAGGATTAATTTGTATCTCTATTTTTCCCTTAAGAACATTTATTTTTTTATGCTGGGAAATGTTATGAATAACATACAAGCATAAATGACAGATGTATCTATAGCTGCTGAGTTATGACTCCATATATTTGAAAGTGAACATTTTTGGCCTTATAAGAAGAATATTGATAAAAGATTAAACCAAGCTGTTCTTCTTATTTATTATTTAGCAAGCATGGTGAATCTTAAATATATAGGGAAATTATTAAACACTGATATGTCACAAAAAGCTGAAGAATGGTTAGAAAAAGAACACCAAAAATGGTTCTAAGTTCTTTAAGTTAAAACACCCCAAATTATATCTAATGCTGATGTAGTTAAAAAATTTAATGCAGCACAGTTGTGAAAATTAATTTAAATGTGTGCTAGTGATAAAGATATTAAAGATTTTTGTCATTTTATGATAGCACTAAGCTATAAGTGTCTGTCTAGCTCTGTATCACTGAAATGAGTATTTTCAATGCATAAATTGAAGTGGTCAAAACTTTCAAATGGATGAAGAATAGAAAAAGTATTGAAATTATTTAAAATTCACAAATATTTAAGATTAAAAATTATAGCACTATTAACAAGATTGATTTATGATGCATTAAATATGTATTTGTGATAAATTAAATTAAATCTGTATGAAGTATCTGTTCTTGCGTATAATTTATGGTCGAATTATTAAATATTTATACTGAAAATTAACAGAAAAACAGATTTTACATATGAAACCTTTGTTCAGTTACTTAAGGCTTACACAGATCATTTTTTTAAATATTGTTGTGTCAGTTTTTTTAAAATTATTATATGTGTTTTCTTTGCTTATTTAGACTATGTATATTTCAATACAGTAGGAAACTCTTTTAAAAATAAAATTATAAATATCATACATTTGTTTGTAAATATTAAAAAATAATGTCACCAATTTAAAAAACACAATAAAACCTGCTTTAGTGTGGTCCTTCAAAAATAACCTGGGATTTTTTCTTTTTGATTGAGGGGTTTTTGCAACATAAACATATAAATTCATAATTATTTATTGATGCATAAATTATGCTTCCAAAAATAGTTTAGTAATAACATACATAAAATAACTAAAAAAATGAATACTCAATATCTGTCCAATAATTTAATTTAGATAGAAGAATTGTAATTATTCACTTTAAATTTACAAATCTATTCGATTGTAATTCGAAAAATTTGGTTATTATAATTTTTTTTTTTAAATTTATTTTTTCATTCTGGCATCATCACACTATTAGAACTTTCATGCTACACATATACTTACTGATGTTTGAGATTTTTTCACTTGATTCTGTTCCTGCATTTCCAGGTGCAACATAAATGTGATCAACTTTAGGAGACAGTGATAATTTCCATGCAAGTGCATGTTCTCTACCACCACCTCCAATTAGTAAAATAGAATCACCCATTCTAAAATCAACAAAGAAAATTATGATTAGAGATTTTAAAATAAAATTTAATTATTAATGTTTGGAAAAGTAAAGAAAAATCTAAAGAATAATTATTAATATTCTTCAGATATTTTATAATATTCTTCAGATTGAATATTTAACACAAAGGCTAAATGTTATTTAAGACCTAATAAATTTTCGTTAATAATTTGTAATGATTTTTAAACAAATCTATTATATCTTGAAAGATGTGAGACCACAGACCAAATTTCAATTATTCCTTAACTTAACTGTTCTTTTTAAAATATATATATATATAAACTAATTACAGTGAAAAATTGCAATGCAGAAACTGATTAAATAAATTATTTAAATTCGGCAGCCCATCTCCATAGCTTTTATATGCAACTTAATAAGGTACAATAAAAATTGCTATCCTACTGTCATAAGAAAAGTTAGTTTTAATATTCAAGCATTTTCCTGTAACTTGTATCATCCTCAAAAAAATAATATTTATTATTATTTTATTTTTTTCATATGCCTTTAAATTTTATGAGGTTTTAATAAATATCAAATTTAAGAGAATTAGTAGTATTTACTCCAAAGAATGAATAAAAATAATTTTTAATTTTATTTTATTCTAAATGAATCAATTTTAAAAAATTTATAAAATTTGCTGGGAATTTTTTTTTATCTATATCTGAGCTAAAATAATCCCTAAATTTTAGCAACTTTTGGGCAGTGGCACACGAGAAATTACAAAAATCATCACAAAAAGGGATCAACTTGAAGAATATAACTCGTAGCCCTCTCTGGACAAATATTTACATAATTTTCTTCTTGAATTGCATTGGCAATAAAAGTTGGCAGAAACAGATACAAATACTGAAATATATAATTATTTGATGACAAATTCAGTCTTGTAAGTAAGAGATTAAACTGCTTATTAAGAGTGCAAAATTCACAACTAAAAAAATTTTCCGTAATCAACTTTTTCCCTATTTCAAAAAAACATAGAAAAACATCAACTTCAAAAGCTATCTTAATTTACATTATCATAAATTACATAAAATAATATTTAAGACAAATAATTTATAACATAAAAAAAATATATTATTTATTATATAGCTTAAATATCAAAATAGAAGGAAAAATGTTGAATATATTCAACTAAAGTCTGGTCTTTTTTAGTTTACTGAAGTAGCTTCCTAAATTAAAGAATTAAACAAATTCTTGTATGTTTTTAAAATTATTATGTACAATGAAAATAAAACTTTTATTATGAAAAAATAAATTTTAAACTGTTTTCCCTTTACTTTAATAAAGTCATAATCTCTTGCAGTTAAAAATTTAACATTTAAAATATCAATTGATTTCATAATAGTATTAATAAATTATAATTTAATATTTTTATGCAAAATATTAGGGGTTGTTTACTAAAATGTTTGCATCAGATTGTTTATTTATAAACAAATTATTTGATTGATAAAAGTAAACATACAATAGTATAAAATAATAAAATATATATAGAAATTTGTGGCCTTGAAAAGGAGTAATTCCTTCTAAGCTCTTTAGAGCATGTACAACATGTTTGGATAAATTAACTAATTATAAGTCAGTTAAATTATCGTAAACAATGGCAAATAATTTTATAGCAAGCTTGATTACCACATTAAAAACCAATTAACATGATAAAAATAAATTTTTACAAAGTAAATAAAACTTAGGGGGAAAAATACATCCTTCATTGAAAATTAACTATTTTCGACTATTATAATTTAATCATTGAGTTATTTGGTATTTAAATCAGTGCTACATTCTTCTTAAAGCTTAAGTTATATTTTAATAATGAAAACCATTAAAAAATATTACATTTTTAATTAATTAACTTTTAGTTGCAATGCTAATACATGAAGCAATTTTTTCGATCATAAACACTTAGAAAATACTTAATAAATAATATATATACAGCTCAGGTTTAACGATAAAAATTTAATTTTTTTGCTTCGTGAAATTTATTTGAATTGTCAAGAATAATTTATTATAAAATAAACAAATGTACTTTTAAAACTGCCGGTCACGTGTTGATGAGGTGTTGATATTGATCGAATGATAATGCTTGATTGATATATTGATTATGTGTTTTTAAACGTTATTGGCTGCCTAATTTTGTAAAATTTATACTTCATATAACTTTGACAACCGCTGATAAAGCCTCAGAAATCATAGAAGAAGAAGAAAAAAAAGTGCGGTGCAGTGAGGTTGGTTTGCTTTGGTTGTTTACGTACATTTCAATTTTTGTTAGTGGATTTTACAATGATCTTTTATAAATTTGGAGTCCCGCAGTGGACTGATCGTTAAGACACGATTCCCAGTAGATCACCGAAGTCAAGCATCACTGGCTACGGTCAGTGTGCGGGTGGGTGACCACTTGGATCAGTCTGCGTAGGGACCGAGGGTGTGCGGTATTGGTCCTCGTTAAACTGTGATACCGTAAAGTGCTCGACTTCGCGCGCAGGTCATCGGGCTACCGAAGCGGGGTTGCCATCCCCTCCGCAGAGGATCAAAATTGTGATGGCATGTCTTCGGATCATACTCCGGGATGTTTCCCAGACCGTCGCCAATAGCCCATTGTGCAGCTCTAGTGCGACGTAAATTAACAACATTAACAATATAAATTTGGAATCAAAATTGTTAAAACAAGAATATAGAATTATATGTTTCTAGATTTTTGTTTTGGTAATTTTGATACCAATCATACCTATGGAAAAACTCTCGTAAGAGAGAGTCATTGTTGTTGTTGTTGTTAATTTACGTCGCACTAGAGCTGCACAATGGGCTATTGGCGACGGTCTGGGAAACATCCCGGAGGATGATCCGAAGACATGCCATCACAATTTTGATCCTCTGCGGAGGGGATGGCACCCTCGCTTCGGTAGCCCGACGACCTGTGCGTGAAGTCGAGCACTTTACGGTAGCACAGTTTAACGAGGATCAATACCGCTCACCTCGGTCCCTACGCAGACTGATCCAAGTGGTCACCCACCCGCACACTGACCGTAGCCAGTGATGCTTGACTTCGGTGATCAGCCGGTCAGTTCACTGCGGGGCAAGAGAGAGTCATGAGTGTCAGGCTTGTATACAGGCAGTGAAAAGAAATTCAGCAAACTTATTTTAGTGTGAGGCTAGAAGGCTTCCACTTGCCGAAGCCGATTTGCTTATAATTCCCACTGAATTTACTACATTAGTGAATATTTTTGGTTTTAATTTCTCTACGCGTCAAACATGGATATACTCCATGAATAACTTGTGCCGTAAAAAAGGGCATTGTTTTAAAGAAACGTTTATATTTTCGTGACTAGTACGTTGAATTCATTGAAACAAAATTAGACATTTAAGAAAAATATGTTTAAAAAAACATGTCTAGCAAAAATATTATATAGAAATATGAGTAGAGCAAAAGTATTCATTTCTATTTTTAAAATGAGAAATCAAATTTATTGCGACAAGCAATGTCTTACTATTACTTCGCAATTGCGAAGTATTAGTAAGACATTGTCTAATAGTTAACTATTACAAAATTCATTTTGCTAATTAGTAAACATTATCTTGAATAAAAATTTAACAGGAAATTTTTTTTTAAAATGCTTAATGCAATTTTTAATGTTAATTAAAAAATTTTTAAATGTTCAAATTCCAGTAAAGTGTATTGTAGAGAAATATTGAAAAAAGAATCACACCCTAAAATTTATAATTTTTTTAAATCTTAATTTTTTCTCATTTAAAAGAATTGTTCAGATTTTTATTTTGAACATTAAAATATGTATACTGTTGAATTTGCTTAAAAAAACTGAGAAACACATTTAAACAGAGGCGATATTTTCGATATTTCACTAACTTATTTACAAACTTGTAGTGTCCTAGTACGCATAGTAAAGTTTAATTTCTTCATGTGTGGTTACAGATGGCTGATAGGAAAGACCAACCTTTTAACATGAAGAAAAATATGATAATCTATAAAATTAGAAGGAAGCAGCCGTGAAAATTTACTTCACACATCATTCTTTGAATGGTACATAATATGACCATAATATGGATTGCTTTGTGAAAAGTTAAATTAAAGAAGGTTTTTCATAAATTTCGGTAGCCTGAGGCTGCAATTCCAATAGCCCTTTCCTTAATTCTGTCCGGGGTCTGCCATTCTGCCAACAATATGAAAGCGCACCATTTCACTACACTAAAGTCACGATGTTTTAACTGAAAAGACTTTTGAAGATCTGAAGAGAAAAATAAACCTCCCCCTTTTTTTTTCTTCCTTGCTTTACTTGTATAACCATAGAAAATAAAACGTTGTAATATTACATGGTGAAAATTTCGTTATTTCACCATCGGTCGACGATTTTCACTTGTTCTGTAACTAATTCTACTATAATATTTAACTAATTTTTGTAATAAAAATAAATTTTAAACGCATTACCTCGTTTAATAAAAACGATTGTAAATAAAGCGTAAATGTTTTAATAAAATGTACATTCATGTAAATTTAATGAAATGAAATGTATGTACATTCATGTACACTCCTTGGTCATTTGGGGAATTACAATAGCTCCAAATGACCAAACAATACGAGACGAGTACTTGAGTGTGCGTACACTTAAAATATTTACTATATCTATCAATGTGTTTTATTAGATTAACTAACAAAGTTAATTTAAACCAAATTTAATTTATTGACCGCAGAGCTTATATATTATCACCTACTTTCTGAACTTTATCGGACAGGAGAAAAGATTTATAATTATTATTTATTTATTTATTTAATTATTTATTTAAATATTTATTTAATTATTTATTTTATTATTAATTTAATTATTTATTTTATTCTTAAATTAGAATTATTACAATTAAAAATATTAAATGATTACATTTATTGTGTAAATAATATAAAATATGAACTTACTCTACCAGTGGCTGAATATTCGTCAGGAACGCAAGTGATTTAATTTGTAATATTACCGGGGATATTTTTTTATCTTCCTTATAATCTTATCTTGACCTTTACATCTTATTTCAATTTCAACACTAAGACTTATTTTACTCGTAAGAGACAGATATTAACAAACGAAAGCGATAAGATATAAACCACTTTATCTTAGAACTACTATCTATTAGCGTTCTTACAGAGATTATTTTGTATGCTCCTAGTTGAATTGCAAACGTATTTTGTTTAAAAAAAAATTTAACGTGATCTTCATGGATTAAAATTATTATAGAAAACAAGTTTTAAATTTCAAAAAAATTATTTTAGACAATTTTTTAAAAAAAAATTGTTAAAAAAAATTTTTTTAAAAAAAAAATTGTTAATTTATTAAAGTTTAACCACGAAGTCGTTTTTTAAATTTCCGATTTTCGTATGTTTGCTGGGTTTTACAAATTGCTCTTTTTCATCTACTTCTTTCCATTTTTTTTCTTTTTTAGATGTAAAAAGAAAAAAAAAAAAAACATTTAGTTTTGTTTTATTTAGAAAAAGTGTATCAGGATTTATTTATTAATATTCTTTTTTTTTCCATTTTTTTATTTTCAATTTTATTTTGTTTTGAATTTCACTACACTGAATTTTTTTGTAAATAAACAATGCCTTTTACAATTGCGATGAATCGTTTATTTTCTTTTCTTAAATTAATAAACAAATTTATCAAACAACATAATTAAAAAAAAAACTTTCTAACCCCTACGCTATTAATTAAGTTCTAACCATATTTTTGAAAGATGATTTGTTTATTAGCATCTGAGTGTGTAAAAGCCAATTATAATGAAAAATATAGAAAAGTAATATTGCTAATAATTCATATCTCCTTTACATTGGAAAAGAGAGAGTATTGTTGGAGGGAGTCCTATAAAGTTGTGTTGCATAGCTGTCAAGAAAGGGTTAAATATGAGGTTTCTCAACCAGTGGCACGATGTTTAAACTCTTAATATGCTTTAAAGGTAAGATAATCTTATGGCTAAAAAAATAAAACGATTGACGTTAGTCTGATGGATTTATTATGAAAAAATATATATGCATACTTAATTAAAAATATTGTATCACTTGATTAAATTTACTGATAAATCATTTAATGTAGTGTTATACATTACTCCAAAGTAAGCTTACTAAAGTATTTGCAAAAAAAAAAAAAATAATAATAATAATAATAATAATTAAAGTCAGTTGATATGTTTCCTAGTGGGAAGAAAGAAATTGTGTCCTTTTTAGTGTATCCTGAGCTGTGATTAAAGCTCCAGTCTGAGTTTTGATGACAATTATTTTTATCGCTATACGTGATAAATAGACTGTTTTCTCATCCTTATTTCATACAAGAGCATTTGTGTACAGGGTGTGCCGTAATGACTGCTCTTTATATATAATTTTAGAATCCTTATTAAAAATGTCAAATTATATACATTAAGGGGTCTTGAATTAATATTTAAAGGAAGAAATAAACAAAGGCGCAAATAAACTCGAACTTATCATTAGTAAATAAGACGTGATTTACTAAATCAAAACCAGTTTGATTGCCTGGTAAAACTTGAAGGTGTTTTTAACAATAGCATTTCAATTACTCTGATTTTTCTTCAGAAAATTGCACTGGTTTTGATTTTTTAAGTACTTTTATAGCAGTGATTTGTTAAGTGATTCCACAGTGATTTTTCTCTCTTCGCCATTAAATATTAATTTGTGTATTTGCTTTGTTTAACTTCTAAAAGAATTTCAAGGAATCAAAAAATATAGAGAAGGGGCGGTGATTACAGAACATCTTGATTCTACAATACAAATCACCAGGATTGGCAAGTGGGTACTATTTAGGATATATTGAAAATTTGTAGCATGTAGCATTATAAATGATTAAATCTTTTCAAGGTAATAACGGACTTTCCTATAAATTTAAAATGCTATTTGGAAGGGTCTGTAGATCAATTTTATAACTAACTGCATGCTTCAACGTTTTGAAGTGACAAAAAAACTGCTTTTGTGAGTCAAAAAAAGAAAAAAAAAAGAAAAAAAAAGTAGGACTATTGTACCTAGACATTGCTGGCATTTTCTATTTACAACTACCACAGTAAGTTAAAAAGTAATAGCAATCGAACAGATGATATTTATATCAGTAATTCCTTATTGTGGACTTAAATGTTTAAATTTTTCAAAATAAATGTTAAGAATGAAATTACCAAGTTACAACTTTTCATCTTTTTGGAAAAAGAACATGTTCTCAAACTAAGAGTATCGGCGTCTAATAGATTAACTGTAGCGTAAGTCAGGTAGTTAAATTTAATTGCATCAAGGAAAATTGAGATTTCGTCTGTTAAAAGAAACAAGAATATCTCACAATTCGAATTTTTCGGTTGAAAACAAAGTTTTTTTTAATTAAAAATTGTGATTTTTATTATCCCTATAATAAAGAGTTGTAAATGGAGTAGTATTTTAGGTGGAAGACCCTTTACGGCTTTGTTGATACATATACACAATCTTTTGTAGCTAAAACTTCGTTGATATGTCATTCAATTTCCTCTCCTGAAGGTATAGGTTTTTCTAGGCTTGTTGGTTTACTTTAAACTTATTCTTCATTAAAAAATGAAAAAAGTTACTACGGTTTTTAATCGCATGATCTGGGCCGCTAGCGCTGTTCTCCGAAAAGTAAAATTTTACCACAGCTAATGAATAAAGTAAGAAAAACATGCTCCTCTTTCATGTAGTGCTCAATTTTTATGAACTTCGAAATATCCACTGCCTTTCCTTTTTGTTGGCAGCATTTTGTAGCAGAATAATTGATTAACACTCTTATTTTTATTGATAATACAGACAGAATGATACACAGAAGAAAATAACGTATTAAAAAAACAAAATTGTTTTTGATTTTCTAGTCAGGCAAATTCTTCCATTTATGGGTTAAAAAAATTAAGTAATCGATGCAATACGATGCTTGATTGAGAAGAATTTCACAAGCTCTACTCGACTATCATACTTCGATATGCATCACACTAGATATGGTTATCAGTTAAAGAAAAGAATATCTGAATATACGTCAAAAATGATTTCAAATAATTATATTTACGCAAGCTCGAACACATATTTTACGGGTGCTCCTTCCGCAAAAAGTGTAGTTTTCATATTTTGCAAGATATTTAAAAAACCTTTTTTTAACATTTATTTTTTGATTTTCGAAAAATATTTTTTCATAAACTATTAGGGGGACCGAAAAGTAATGTCGTTTCAGCGTTTCAAATATTCGTTAGTTTTAAAAATCAATTCAATTTTTTCCCCGATTCATTTTCGATCCGGCATTGAAAGGTTGTTGCTAACGAGGGTGAATACATTATTGATTAAAAATAAAATCTTGGTAACAAATATCAAATGCACCGAAACGACATTACTTTCCAGTTCCCCTAATACAGTGTTTCCCAAACTTATGACTTTTGCGTACACTTTTGAAATTTTTCGTAACGCTGTGTACCACTAATAAAAAAATGATGTATTTTTTAAAAATATGCTTATTTTTCTTTTTCGTTACAAAGTTTTGTTAATAAGTTTATTTGCATCAGTGAGAAAGATGATACTGTTTTTGCTGTGATAACAGTTACAGGGATAAAAATTATATTTTATGTAAAATAATTAAAATAAGTAGAACTTATTATAAACCTTTACTATAAAAAATTGCACAAAAGTTAAAAATCACAACTGGCTGTTGACACCACTCATTATTCACTGTTAACTCTGCGAAAAATAGCCATTAGAAAAATACGTAATAGTAAATTTTCGCTGCTAGCTTTATTTTTAAATAAAAATTTTTTGAAATTTCGTTTGTTGCCAGATATTTTGCATACCCCCGCTAAACTGTTCCCGTACCCCTAGGGGTACGTGTACCACACTTTGGGAAACACTACCCTAATACATTATTAATAGAGCCCGGAAGTTCAGGCAAAATGCCATAAATGCCCTTTTCTGCCTTTTTTAAACGTTTTCTTCTGAAAATGCCTTTTTCTTTCCTTTTGTTCATAAATGCCTATTTCTGTCTAATTTAAAATTTTTCTGCAAAGCTTTTTGTGCTTTTGACCGAGCATAAACGCAAAATGAAGAAATTTTGAAGTACAGAAATGGTTGACTGTCATCCGACGTATTGTAATGCATTTATAGAGATTAGGACTTTATTCCTTTTGTCTTATTAATATTTTCTCTCCGTCTCTTCGTGGCGTCACCTTCGTCGTGGCGTCACCTTCGCCCGATGCGCTTTGCAAGGAGAGAGAGAAAGGGAGTGAAAAGATTGGAGTTATTTTTACTTACAGTCAATAGAATTTATTCTTACTTACGGCCCATATAGCCTACACCATCGAATAACTCGTATGCTCTCTTATCTACAAAACGAATTCACCAAGCTGGTTGAGCACATTGTAGCAGGAGCACGAAAAAGTTTTCTAGTATACTAGTTATTTCTAAAATGCCTAAAGTAAAAGCCTGCACAAGCAAAAAACTGGACAGTTTTGTGAAAGAATTTGGGTCGGATGTGTTTTCTACTGATGGGAGCATTCTGTTTTGTAAGGCATGCGAGAAGTCAGTAAATTTTGAGAAGAAGTATTTTATATCTCAGCACTTGGAGACATCTAAGCATAAAACAGCAAAAGATAAAAAAGATGGGAAAACATCGACTCTGATTTCCACCTGTTTTCAATTATCTTCTCGCAAATCGGAATTTGCAATGGATTTATGCAGATCATTTATAGATGCCGGCATTCTGCTGTGGAAACTTGAAAATTAAAAGCATACGAGCTTTTTTGCAAAAATATATGAATCAAAGTGTGCCCTGTGAATCAACTTTAAGGAAAACTTATTTAGATGACTGTTACACCGAAGTTCTTAAAACTATTCAAAATGAAATCGGAACGAAAAACATATGGCTATCTATAGATGAAACGACAGATGTAACTGGACGATATGTTGCGAATGTTATTGTTGGTGTTATGGACCCATTTGAAAAACATAAAATCTTTTTGTTGACATCTGAACAGTTGCAAAAGACTAACAGTACTACAATTGCACAGTTGTTCACTAATGCACTGGCTTTACTTTGGCCAAATGGT